AGAGAGAGAGAGAGAGAGAGAGAGAGAGAGAGAGAGAGAGAGAGAGGGAGAGAGGTGCCACCTGACTTCTGGGAAGATAAGTGGCCATGATCTTATGGCCTGTCACCCCTGGACAGTGGCTGCAACCCCATGGCTGGACAAAGGTGGGGTGGAGGCAGCAGCATTTCTAAGGGGACATTTCAGTCTTTCTGATCCTGTTCTCCAGGAGGAGGCCACAGCCCCGACCTCCGATGGACATTTAAAAAGTCTGCCAAGGGTTACCCAGGAAGGTGTCCTGTGTGGCCCTAGTGCCACGAGCTGGGGAGGCCCCAGTCCAAAGACAAGGAAGGTCCACAAAGCAGGGAAGGGAGCTGGCCACCAATGCTTGGTCATCAATGCTTAGCCACCCACAGTCCCCTGTTTAGCACAGACTCCCTCCTTACCACCTTGATACACATCTTCCACTCTCAATCCTCAGTCTGCTCTCCCTGGAATGTCCATGTGTCCCTCTCTGAATGGCTCTCTTGTTGAGGGGGCATTGGCCTGTAAGTCCTCAAATGGTTCCCGCAGGGCTCCCTCCTGCCTGGAACCAAAGCTCAGGCAGGCCCTGCCATGAGCACTCAGCGCAACTGTTGAAAACACAATGCCCACCCAGGGACACAGACATTCAGAGATATGCTCTATACATCCATACATAGGCTCAGCCTCCAAAATGCTTCAAATCCACAGAACACACTGTAAAAATGAGTGCACACAGCCAAGAACACAGCCTGTCCACACAGACTACAAACCCAGCTCCAAGGTGGGCCTCTTCCCCTGTCAGCCCCGCCCCTCGCTTGAGAGCTGATCCTCCCTCCTTGGGCCTCCCTAGTCTGCTCCTAGCAACAGGCAACAGCTCTAGCAGTTGCCAGGCAACAGCTCTAGCATTTGCCAGGCAACAGGGAGAAACTGTCCGTCCCTTGGAGGCCAGGCTCACCAGAGGTAGGTAGACACAGACCCCAGTCAATGGAGGCGAGGCAGGACAGGGCCACTGGGAGGCATGGCTTCCCCCAGCCCCAAGCCAGTTCCTGTGGTATTTGCACCCTTCCCACCAGTTAGCCACCCGCTTCCAGTTAAGTGCTCTTCCTACAGAGTCCAGCAACCCCTGCATCCAGTGCTCCTGGCTGCTCCCTCACCATTTTCATGGGGGTCCCCAGGGCTACTGCGAAGTCTCTGTTTGCTCCTCCAGTCACACACCTCCCACTCCAGGGGCTCAGAGCCCCACAGGCCCAACTTCTCCCCCAATCACCAGCCCCATGTCCACCGCTGCTCTGAAACCCAGACACTTCGGGTACCCCCGATAACCCCTGTTCCTAGGCTTTCCATTTTGTGACCTCCCACCAGCCAGAGCCATGACCCTTGCTCCCCACCCCTACATCCTGTCAGTTTCTTCCCCTCCTTAACTCCCCCTCAAATACATCCCCATTCTCTGTCCCCACTGTCCCTTATTCTAGGCCTCCAGCTTCCTCCCTGGCTCTCCTGTTTCTCTACAATCCATCCTCTACATGGCAGTCAAAGGGATCCTGCTGAAAGAAACCATATCACTCTCTTGCACACAAACCTTCTGTGGCTCCCCAGTACCCTGACGATAAAGCCCACACACACGGCTTTGGACTGTGCAGGGGCAGAGGTGGCACAGTGGTGATTGACAGCAGGGACTCTGAGGAGCACTCCACAAACTTGCCAGCTGCGTATTACTTTGGACAAGTACCAGAAATGCCTTGTGCCTCAGTTTTTTGTTGTCTTTTTTTTTTTTTTTTTTTTTTTGGCTGCACCGGGTCTTAGTTGCAGCACGCAGGATCCAGTTTCCTGACCAGGGATCAAACCCGGGCCCCCTGCATTGGGAGCTTGGAGTCTTTTTTTAAATAAATTTATTATCTATTTGTTTGTTTTACTGTTGGCTGTGTTGGGTCTTTGTTGCTGCGCGTGGGGCTTTCTCTAGTTGCAGCCAGCTGGGGCTACTCTTCGTTGCGGTGCGCAGGCTTCTCATTGTCATGGCTTCTCTTGTTGCAGAGCACAGGCTCTAGGCGCGTGGGCTTCAGTAGTTGTGGCGCATGGGCTTAGTTGCTCCGAGGCATGTGGGATCTTCCCAGACCAGGGATCGAACCCGTGTCCCCTGCATTGGCAGGTGGATTCTTAATCACTGAGCCCGGGAGCTCGGAGTCTTAACCACTGGACCACCAGGGAATTCCCATGTCTCAGTTTTTTTTATCAGTAAAATGAACCTAACAGTAATAGCTACCCACTACACTGGCTGAGGTCACGGATAAGGGAGGAAATGTAGCTAAATGTTCAGAATGTGCATGGCAACAAAACGCCCTCAGTAGGGGTGAGTTGTTACAACAGTAATTTCTTTCTGCCAGGCCCCTTAGGGGCTGTCCCCGACCAAGGCCCATCTCACCTCCCTCCATTTGCAACACACCAGCACTCCAGCCATCTGACTTGCCTTGCTCTCTCCATTCTCTTGCACATCCCCCATTCCCTTCCCCCACTTCCCTCCTCCCAATCTTTCATTCCCTGGCTGTGAGCTGGGCATCTCTGACTCCCATTGTCCTGGGGCTTCCCCTCCCCAGCCAGATGCCACTATCCCAGTGGTGAGTCTCTGCCACCCACCCAGATCTCTGATTCCAGACCCCTTACAGCATAGTCCTTGAGGGTGGCAGGTAAATATTTGTCAAACGAAACGAATGAATCACACAAAGTTTAACCCACCCTTCCAGGGGTTCCCCCTGGAGCGGGGAGAGGTGAAAACACTAATCCTGCCATATAATATTCACCATAGTTGTTTGTGCAGAGAGGGTAGAAACTCATGATGCCTGGGAAGGTCAGGGAGCCTTCTTGGTGGAGGTGGTGTGGGGAGTATTAGAGGGAGAGGATCACTGAGGGAAGTGGGAACAGGGACTGGGAGGGTGGGTTCGGGAACAGGCTGGGGAGAAAATCAACAGTCAGAGCTAGAGAAACACCTGGCTTTGAAGCTGAGGCCACTGAGACCCAGAAGGGGTCAGGACGCAACCACGGTCATCCAGCGAGGGACATCACAGGCATGCTGCTTCCTTTACACTTGGGAGCCCAGGAGTCCTTTCATCCTTTCAAGAGACATTGTTCTGGGGGCGGAGGATGGTTGCCCAGCCAGGGCTTCATGGGCACCAGAGGAGGCATGACTTGTGTCTGTGCATGCTGGTCCAGCAGCACCTGAACTAGACCGTAAAGGACAGTAAAATGACATTCAGCAGAACTAAGGATGGCATCCCAGCTGGAATGGAGAAGTGGCAGCTACTGGCTCACCTGGACAGCTAGGATAACTTCGAGGCTCACCGCAGGCCACAGAGCAGGTTCAGCTTGTCCTGAGCTCCTGTCGTGCACCAGGCTGAACAGGGTGAGGAACAGAGACCCCCTCAGTGGGCTGCGACTCCCCAGTCCACAGACTCCAGGAAGGGGAAGCTGCCAGAACTTCCCCAAAGGCAGTTTCGGGGTGGGTGTGTTTGCCCCCACCAGAGTCCAAGAACAGGCAGGACCCCACAGGGATGCCAAGTCCAGGATCCTGGCCACTCCATCTCCATGGCTCTCAGATGGCAGGGAGTGCCCAGCTAGGCCCTGTACCACCAAATCACAGCTTTGCAGATAGGGCCTCAGCAACTTCTGTTTGTAGATCTCAGTGATCAGAGCTGGCTCCCTCCCTGCAACCCTGAGCCAGGCTCCACCTCCTAGTACATCCCCTGCACTTCCCCTTTCCTGCTTCTGAGCCCAGCAGCACTTCTGAGATTGGAGTCAGCCACCTTGCCCTCTCTGCCCCTTCCTTCCAAACCGCTATTCCCAGGCTTCTCTTACCCCCAGGGAAACAGTCCCAAGCCTGGCAGGCCCTGGGGTCCAGGGTCCCCTTTCACAGTCATCCACCTCCTTCAATTGGCTTTGGCCTGGAGAACTCAGGGCCCAGCACTCCATGCTCAAGTTTCTGGGGGCTAGGGGATTCCACCTGACACGGGCAGGAGGCTCTGAGAGGAGTCCTTTCAACTACTGTTTGCTGTGAAACTACTGTGTGCCATCGTGCTGAGAACCTTAGGGTGAGGAAGGGAGCTGGGACCCTGCCCTTCAGGAGCACACCAAACACGTAAACAGGGAAATGAACTCCACTGTTTTGGAATAACTCAACAGGGTGACACGAGAGCCACTAGGAGGTGTATGCAGGAGGAACAGTCCAGGGGCTTCCCTAGTGGTGCAGTGGTTAAGAATCCGCCTGCCAATGCAGGGAACATGGGTTCGAGCCCTGGTCCGGGAAGATCCCACATGCCGTGGAGCAACTACACCTGTGCGCCACAACTACTGAGCCTGTGCTCTAGAGCCCGCGAGCCACGGCTACTGAGCCCGCGCACCTAGAGCCCGTGCTCTGCAACAAGAGAAGCCACTGCAATGGGAAGCTCATGCACCGCAACAAAGAGTAGCCCCCGCTCACCGCAACTAGAGAAAGCTCGCGTGCAGCAACGAGGACCCAATGCAGCCAAAAATAAATAAATAAATATTTTTTTAAAAAGGGAGGCTTCCCTGGTGGCGCAGTGGTTGAGAGTCCGCCTGCCGACGCAGGGGACACGGGTTCGTGCCCTGGTCTGGGAAGATCCCACATGTCGCAGAGCGGCTAGGCCCATGAGCCATGGCCGCTGAGCCTGCGCGTCCGGATCCGCAACGGGAGAGGCCACAACGGTGAGAGGCCCACGTAACGCAAAAAAAAAAAAAAAAAAAAAAGCAGGAACAGTCCAAGGAGGGGAACTCTGAATGATGAGAAGGGACCAACCATGTGACAAGCCAAGAGAAGACAGCGATAGGCAGAGGCGACAGCAAGTGCAAAGACCTTGGGGCGGGAAGGGCCTGAGTGTTCCTGGAACAGAAAGGCCAGCCTGGCCAGAACAGCCAGAGCAAGAGGGACTGTGGTGTGAGGGAGGCCAGCCATGAGGCATCAGTGAGGCACAGGGAAGGCAGGGGGCTCCCAAGTGCCCAAGAGATGCTGAGGTAGGAGTTCATATGAGCCTGCAGTGGACAACAGCATCTCCAAGCCAGTGACCCATGTCTGGCCCTGAAAATCCAACTGATCCTGGCACTCAGGGTGCTGCTGATATGACTGCGGGAGAACTGCCCAGTGACTTAGCAGGGGACCCAGGGAGCCTTCAAGGCTTTGGGTCCATGACTGAGCTGAGCCCCCCTCCATGTCCTTGAAAAGCTCTTGTCCAACTTGCTACTGTGTCTGTTACCTATGCAGCCTCTAAAGGCCCCCTCCCCTGGGTAACCCAGTATCCTTAGAGGGCCTGGGAAATGATAATCAGCCCTATCCCTGGGAGCCACTCCTCTGCTCACCCTGTTGCCTAGCCTTCCCTGCCATGCTGTCCAAAGGCTGGGGCTGGTAGCTTCTGCAACTCGTTGGGGCCTTCATTAGCACTGCTTCCTGGAATTTAATTTAATGAAGGAGCAAAAACAGGCCTAATGAAGGTAATCCAACAGCAAGCAGCCCATGAGATGCCTCCAAGGCCCAGCCACCAGGGCTCAGGAGCTTCCTGTAGATGGTGACCAGGAGCAGAGGGGGAAGAGAAAGGGGACCTGTTCTGAGAGAGATGCTGGTCACTGAGCCCTGGAAGCATGGAACATAGCTCTGCAGTACTGCAGGGAACAAATCCTGCCACTGAAGCCAACTAGACAGAGTTAGAGGAATAAGCCTGGTTGGGGATGGCTTCAGGCTGCTGGAGAAAAGCTTTTGAGATGCCCTGGGCCTGTACCGTCTATCACAGCACAGGCCCAGCTGTGGTCCAGCACCAGTGGGTAGTCAGGAGGGGCCAGATCATCAGGGCCAAGGGCAGGGAAGAGTTTAAATTTTATTCCAAATGTGATGGAAACAATTGGAGGGTTTTTAAGGGCAGGTGACATGATCTACTATTTTAAAGTTCCCTCTGACTGCTATGGAGAGTGTGGCCCTGTGGACAAGAGAAAAGGCAGGGAAGGAGGCACGGGGTGACCACCATGTGGTGCAGGAGATAAGGGTGATGGAGTGACACCTATGGGGACAGGGCTGTCCCACATCCTCTAGGAGAGGCTAGCTGGAGACATGTGGGAGGCAGGGCATAAATAACTGGACTGAGCTAGTTTCCTTCCAGCAGGTTTGGGCTGACTAGTCCCCTTTCAGCCTTCTCCACAGGCCTGGCCTCTTCTCCAAATAGACATGGCTCAAACATTTAAAGAAAATCTGTTTAAAGGGTTCCCCAGGCCCCTATAGTCGTTTCCCCAGCTCTGTGCACCTCTCTACTCCGCTGCTGCAGTTCCCTTCCCATTTCTCCATCGCTGGGAAGCCTTCCTTGCCCTGCACCCAGGTCTCGGGCACCGCCAAGACTTCCCAGGAGCTCCAGGACTGTATTTCACAAGGGAAAATGCCGGAGGCTCAGATGTGGGGTGAGCCTCAAAGACCAGAGCCTGTCCCTCAGCTTTCGGCCTCCTGCCACCCTGTTCCCACCCCTGCCCTAGTACCCCTTAACACTGCCTGCCCTCGGCCCACCGCAGCCCCCTCGCACCCTCCCCGCTCCCTATTCATGACCTCCCTCCCCAAGTTTACCTCCCCTGCCTCGGGGCCAAGCTGAAACCGGAAGCGGCATCTGAGTGCGCCGCCCCGCCTCTTCCGGGGCTTCTCTAGGCGGGAGCGCGGGGTTTGGGTGGTGCTAGAGGCAGGGCACGGCTTCGCGGGGCAGCGGCGCCTCCTAGCGGGTCTTTGGCGCAACGCCGGAGCCGAGGCGGGCCTAGCGCCCGCACCTCCCCGCAGTCCTCTCCTCTCCTCCCGACTGCCGCTCGCCATTACCCCCACTAGGCCTGCCTTCCCGTTTCGTTCTGCCTCCAGCCCTGGCCCCCGCCTCCGCCGATCTGCCCACTCGGTGGCCAGAGAGGCCCTCCCTCCATAGGGCAGTAGCCGTTCGGTGTCCTCTGGCTCAGAGCCGTCCGTGGCGCCCCATGGCCCTTGCCCTGCTCTGACCCCATCCCTCCTGGCCTTCCTCCAGCCTTAGCCGCCCTCTCGGCCCATCCTCAGAACGTACCATGACACATGCCTTCCTGCTTCTTCTGGTCCTGGCATCTTCGCCGCCTCCGTTCCAGGATGTTTTCTAGCCTCCACCCCGCAAATTCACAGCGGAGATTAAACGCTGATTTGGTTGACTATCCCGTTGGGCACTTCCCCTGCTTCCTGAAGCTGGGGTGGCTCAGTGCCCATAGCCTGCACTGAGCCTGGGGCCGCGTGCCGGTGCGATTTGGGGGCTCTGCGTGCCTTGCTTAGCTTGACCCTAGAGTAGATGTGGGCAGCGTAAGGAGAGGAGCTGGGCGATGCTTGGTGGGGCTCCCAGAACGCTTGGTCAAGGGTGGGGCTGGGACTCGGCCCCTTCCTCCGCACCAGGAACCCCTCCAAGGTCAGGCAGCTCATAGGGGGCCCAGGCCTGGCTCCCTGAGGACCCGGCCAAGTGTGGGACTGGCAGTTCCTCACCCTCCCGCCCCGCCCCGCCCGGAGCCTTCCTGCCTGCCCTCTTCCCATGCGCCAGCCAGGACGCCTTCCTGGACAGCCTTGGAGCCTCAGGGCCCCGCTTCACAGCCATAGCTGACCATCCCCACCACCAGGTCCTGTAACGTGTTGGGTGGGTCGCTGCGCCGCCCAGACTCTGGCCGTTGAACGCCAGGGGGCAGCAGAGGCCGCCTTCTATGGATCTTCTGGGGCGGGGGTGGGGGTGGGGTGTGCGGGTTAAGTCTAATCCTGTCCAGGTCCCGCTGTGCGTGGCAGGGCAGGTTTGCAGCCTTGTATGGTTTTGAAAGCAGTTTTGTTCTTTCCGATTTTTCCCAGGGCTACTTTTTCTTCCTAAGTAGCTTGCAGTCTATTATTACTGTTCCACGTCATTTGAAAGTTAGTTGCTGGATGACTTTAAACTGAGGTCAAGGCAGAGATCTGAAAGTGTCTTCTGGGTCCCTGCATATGCTCTTTGATGTCCTTGGCTTCATCGTGGACCCATGATGTTCCTAGCTACCAGCAATTGGCCTGGCCAGGCCAGGCTGTGGCCACACTGCGTGTTCCCTGATACGACTGCCCAACCTCCGCGTACTGTCTTCCAGCTCAGTACTTCCAGGGCTCTGGCCCAGAAGTCCTTCACCTGCCTCCAGCCCACCACGCTGCCAACTTCTTCAAATCTCTTACCCTCAATAGCTGCTTCTTCTCAGTCTTCCATAAATGCCTCTGTTGGCCCTGCTCCTCTCACTTCACACAAATTTTCTACACTTTATCTTTTCTTTTCTACCTCTCTTTCCTCTACCCTCTCCAGGCAGGCTTGCCCCTCCTTCCACAAAAAAAGCCCTGGTCAGGGTCCTTAGTGACCTACACGTTGCTGGACCCAGTGGTCTGTGCTCCACCCTCACCTCCTTGAGCAGCTGATGCTCGTCTGGTTCCCAGGAGCCCACATTCTCCTGGGTTTCCTCCTACCTCCTGGCTGCTCCCTCCAGCTTTTTTGCTGGTTCCACCTCATCTCTCCTACCTCCTAACAGAGGAATATTCCAGGGCTCAGCCCCTACTGCTGCCCTCCTCCTTCCAAACCCATCTGCCCCCATCACATCCAGGAGCCTGGCTTTAAGTACCAATCCACACTTTTTATCTCCCAGATCCAAAGCTCCAGCACTGGTCACTCTACTGAACTTGAGTCACACACCTAGCAGCAAACATGGCATTTCCACTTTGATGTCCAGTCAGTGTTTTAAACTTTTCATGGGCAAAATTGATCTCCCCCCCAAGCCTACTCCTCCCCCCGCCTCCCTCAGCAGATACAGTGGCAAGTTGGAGTCACTCTGGACTTGTCTCTGCCCTTCCCCTCATACGTACCCAAGCCATCAGGAAATCCTTCAGGATATGCCCAACGTCTCACCCCAACTCTGCCACTACCTGGGCTGAGACACCTGATATGTCTGTCTGGAACAACTGTAGTAGCCCTTGCGTCAGTGTCACCCTTGGCTCCCCATCTCCCACCCCAGAGTCTAGTCTCAATGCAGCAGCCAGAATAATCCATTTAAAACCTAGAGTTGCTACTGAGTCAGATCCTGCCCCCTCCTCTGTTCAGGACCTGGCATTGACTCTTGCCTTTTCCACAGAAAAATCCAAAGTCCTATGGTGGCTGGCATGGTCCCACAACATCCCTTCATTAGCCCCCAGTCGCCCCTTCTACCCTCTCCCACCTCTCTCAGCATCAGCCTCGATGGCTTCCTGGCTGCTCCTCTCCCAAGCCGGCACATTCTGCCTCAGGGCTTTGCACTGGCTGATCCCTCTGGCTGGAATGTTCCCTGCAGACATCTGCATGGCTTCCTCCCTCTCCAAGTTCTGATCAAACATCCCTTCCTCAGTGAGGCCCACCCTGACCCACCTCCCAACCCTTGTTCTTTTTAAATTTTATTTGGCTGCACCACGTGGCATGTGGGATCTTAGTTCCCCGACCGGGGATCAAACTCGTGTCCCCTGCATTGGGAGCGCGGAGTCTTAACCACTGAACCGCCAGGGAAGCCAGCCCCTAACCCTTATTCTTCATTGCCCTTTACTCCCTATACTACTGATCATCTGCTGACAAATGATATAACTTACTGATTATGTCTCATGTTTCTGGTCTGAATCCAATCCCCCACCTATAAGTCCAAGGAAGGCAGGGCTCTTCACTTTGTTCATTGCTGTACATACAGGTGCTAGGAGAGCACCTGGCACATAGGAAATCTTAATAAATACTTGTCAAATGAATGAACAATGAATTCCTTTTCAGTTGATAGGCGAATGTGTGCATGTGCACACAGGTGAGAAGGGTGCAGGCAGGGGCAGCTGCTGGTCAGGGAGACCAAGGCCTATGCTTTGGCCCTTTTTCCTGGTCTGTATTATCTTATTTTTCTGTTACAAGCAGTCATAGGAAAAGTGGTGAAAAGAAATATTGACGACCTCTGTGCTGCTCTAATTTTGGGTTTTTTTTTTTTGGCTGCACCACACGGCTTGTGGGATCTTAGTTCCCCGACCAGGAATTGAACCCAGGCCCTCAACAGTGAGAGCACAGAGTCCTAACAACTGGACCGCCAGGGAATTCCTGCTCTAACTTGTTAACATTTCAGATTAAAAACATTTTTTTCAGAGCAAATTTTAAAAAGCAAACCAGAAGAAAAAAAGACCTGGGAAATTCTTCAAAACATACAAAAATGCTTAGTGATGACCAAGGGCCTGCAGACGCATCCTCGTGGAGGCGGAATGGCTGGAACTTGACAGTCAGAGATACTCATTTTCAAACAGTCTTGTGGACACTTGACTTTTCGATATAGTGTAGTGGCCACATTGTCTGCCCCCTTGCCCCTGGAGGCTGCTGCCCAGCAATCAGTCTGGAGGAGAACTTGCTTGGAGATGGCCTCCAGGGGCCAGGGTCCTTCCTCCACCCCAGCTGTGTATATGTGGGTGAGTGTGTAAGTGTGTGGCAGCGGGGAGGGGTGGGTGGAGCGACTTTCAGCTCATCCCCCTTGTCTGAGAGGCCTGAAGCCAGGCTTGGGGTCTTAAGAGATTCCAGGCAGTCCTGCTGCTGCTCTGACCTGCAGCCTTCTTTGGATGGAGGGAGGTTGAGAAAAGATCCCCGGGGTCTGTCAGCAGGATGGACCCTGCCCTTTATTGCCTCCTGCTCCACAGGAGCCAAGGGTCTCAGGCAGGGCCATGGCCTCACCTGACGAGGAAGACGCCAGAGACCCCCAGAGGGCAGCCTTGCATGCCAGGGGCACTCTGGGCTGCGGCCACCTCTAGGCCAGTGTCCAGCTCTTTTCTGGGGCCACGGGGCTCCTGAGTGAGTCCCCAGGCTGGAGTCAGGCGCCTGGGGCTGTTGAGAACCAGACTCAGGAAGCCCCCCTCTGATCAGCTGGCACTGCCATGGGCCTAGCAGCCACCAGCTTGAGGAAGTTCTTTCTTCAGGGGTTTCTCAAGCCGGCAGCTGCCTTGCCAGTTCAAACTGGATTTTTCCTGCTGCCCTTTCCCTGGCCGCCTAGCCGGGTGTAGGGTCTCTCCTAATGAGGGTTTGATGCCAAGGCCTGGGCAGCTCCGTCCTGCTGGGTCCCAGCTGATTCAGGCCTGCCTCAGGCAATGGGCAGCTTCCCAGTCCCACCCGGGCCAGGCCACCTGGGGCTGCCCTGCATCCTTGCGGCTCTTGCCCTGCCTTGGACTCCCCCATTCAAAACTCAGGCCTCACATACAGGCAATCACTAACCCACCTTTATTCGTAGTAGGTTTTACTATTAATAAAAGATTAGCCTGACAGGGCACAGGACCCCTGGACTTTTGTCCCCAGATTTAAGGCATTGGCAGAGGGTTGACATGGCAGCTAGGGAGGGCAGGGGGCCCTTCTGCAGGGCTTCTGCAGGGCTCAGCCGCCCCCAGCTCAGACCCTCCCTGGAAGCTGCTGGGGATGCACCTCACGTTGCCTCCTTCCGGAGGCCTCTCTCTGTCCCATTTCCTGGGGCCTCATTAATTCCTCCCCACCTCACCCCGTGAGAAAGCAGGTCTGTGCTGAGCCTGGCCCAGGCCCAGAGCTGGGTCTCAGCACACCACTGGCTGGTTTGGGAGGCAGGGTCGGGGTGGAGTAGGGGACTCACCCTGTCCCCACCCTTATCCCAGGGAAAAAGGCAGGGCAGGCTTCCATCACCATCCATGTCCCGGCTCCCACACCACTTTCCAGGAACCCAGGGACCATGGAGATCAAGAATATAAAGCACAGCTGGTCTTATGTATAATATTTATAAAAGGGGGCTGCCAGACTCTCCATCCCTGCCCCAGATTGGCCCTTGGGGTCTCTGGCTCCCAGGGGCAGACACGTTCTGGGCCTCAGCTTCTTTCTTCTCCCAGCAGTGGAATGTGAGCTATGGCCTGGGCTTGGGGTGGGGGGAGTCCCAGCCTCCCCAGGACTGGTGAAAGACCAGGAAAGGGGCCCCTTGGGGTGTCCACACCAGCCTCACCCTCAAGCATAGGGTGAGGGGGTTCTGCTCCCGGTGGAGGGGATGGGAAAGAGGACCAGGTTATCCAAGGGCCTGAGCCCACGAAAGGGGCCTAGGTGACAGAAGGAGGAAAGGCAAGCAGGCTGAGGGAGATGAAGCCCCAGGGTGCAGACCATGGCCCAGGAGCAAGGTGGCGGGATGACTGCAGGCCTAATTCAGCTCTTTGTGCCCCTACAGGCTATGCGACCTTAGGGGGCAGCTGCTGGGCCTCAGTCTATGCACCTGTGCAAAGAGAATAAGGGGCTTGGGTGGGACCTGAGGCAGCAGGAAGGGAGCAGGGGTACAGCCCCACCTTGCTCCCAGCTCAGGAAGCTCCTGTAGGCCAGGAGCTCAGCAGGGTAGTGGCCCAAGGGCCTTGGTCCTGGCTCTAACAAAAACTTCGACAGAGAGGACATGGGGCAGGGCCAAATGCCATAGTGTTCACCACGTCTTTCTCTTCCCCCTCCAACTGGCCACTGGATGGGAGCAGGGGCTGAAGAGTCTGGGCAGGGGTAGGAGGACAAGTAGACAGAACAGGATGGGGGTCATCCTAGTGGCTTCCTCCATGCCGACTGGTCCCCGAGATCCAGTCAATAATGATGAAGCTCAAGCTCATGGTCATCAGCAAGAGGCCAAGGGCAGCAAAACAAAGGGCCTGTGGGGTCAGAAGTCAGGGTCAGGTCTGAGGTCAGGGCAGCCCCCTCATCCCCACACTAGCACACCAACCCCCAGGCCCTTCGCACCAGGATTTTGGGGGTAGATCTTGCAGGTTCCTTCTCTGTGGGCATGATGCGAAAGTAGAAGATGGCAGGGAAGATGAAGATGAGGCATGGGGCAGATGTGGCACCTGCAAAGAATAAGGCATGGCCACCACTGGCTCACGTCTACCTATTGGCTAAGGTTCAGGGTGGACCCTTTAATGAGATCAAACATTCCTTGATGAGGGAGTCTTGTCTCGAGACTCCACTCGAGAGCTCTGTCTGATTCTGGAGAGCCCATCAGCCCCTCCCCTTGTTCTCTGTCTACCAGGATAGAAGGCTAGTGCCTTTGGTGTCAGAAAACTCTGTCAGTGAATGAAGCTGGCAAAGAGAAGAGGCAGACCAAGAGACAGAGATGAAGTTTGAGGATACTGGGCCCCTGGGTATAGCTATTCCTGAAGGCTTTTCCATTAATTGAGCCAATACATTACTTTCTGTATAATTCATTTTGAGTCGGCTTTCAGACGTACAGAACCAAGAGTCCTGTCAGTGATATCAATGATACTCAGCCCCCAGGTCTGTGTGTTGGTCCTTGCAGAGCTGGGTTGCGGAGTCAGTCTCCTGAGTTGGGTCACCCCAAAGACGTCTCAGAATTGTTTGATCTTCCCACTCAGAGCCCCAACTGAGACAGTTGGACAGAACCCTAAACCTATAGTCCCATGATCCTGGGGCCCAGTCAAGGCTCTCCACTTAACAGCTATATGGCTCTCCCTTAATCACTCTAAACTTCCTCATATGTGAGGTGGGGACAAGAGCCAATGAGATCCTTAGTGAAGGCCCCTGGACGCTTGGGCTCCATTCCATCCTCCAGCACCCCCAGCAAGGGTAACTGACTCGGTGGCTCTGAGCCCTCAAAATGGATTAGGAGAGCCTTAAGAACAAATCTCAGATGGGACGCCAAGCTGTGCACATGGCCAGCAGCCATCACTTAAACGTAGGGTACGAGCTTAGGAATCTGCCAGCATTTGCAGAAGGGAAGTTCTCTGGGGCAGTACCCTGTCTCCATTCACAGCAGGGCCAGACCCTTACCGATGACCCCGAAGATGCCCAGGATGTTGGGGGCAAAGATGACCAGCAGGTTGATACAAGTGAGCAGGCCAACAGCAATGAGCACGTGCCGCAACCAGCTGAACTCGCGGTCCTGAAACAGCATCTGCTGGAGGGCGCGGCGCACCTGGGAAGCAGGGTGGGGAGAGTCATCAATCTGTCAGCCCCATCAGTCCCACCCCGCCAGTGGTCTGACCACCTGGCCACTTGCACATTGGCTCACCGGAAACAGAACAATTGGCACTGTGAGTGTGACTGCCGTCAGCACGGCCACGCGCACACACAGGATCAGCACATCAAACGGGTCCACCTTGCTGTAGGTGTGCAGCAGCTCCGACTCCACCCTGTCTGTGGCAGGCAGGGAGGGTGGTCAGCAGGAGGTCCAGGGATGGGGTTGGGCTCTGAGCCTGGGTTGACCCTGACAATGAGGAGTGGCAACACACCTCCACAGCTGCAGGGCACAGTTAGGCATCACAGACCTAATGAACGCCTATAGTATGCAGGGTGCCATGGCCACTGGCCAGCCCCTTGCCCCCCAGCCTGGCCTCTGCCTCTGCCCCCACGGTCCAGCCATACCGTAGAAGGTGAGGTAGCCGAAGAGGGCGGCCAGGAAGTACATGACATACATGACGGCGATGGACAGGTTGGAGATGTGCTGCATCTTCCTCTTGGAGGGGCTATGGGGCAGCAGGGGAGGGGATTGGTGCCAAGCTGGGCCACATTGGGAAACCCCCATGTGTCCTGGGGTCTCTCTCTGGCACCACACCCTCACCATCTGGTAGCTGAGGGAGCCTCCTTCTTGCCCCCGGTCGCCCCTTGTGGCAGCCATGGAGACCTTGGATAAAATGACTTGGCTCCTGTCACTCTTTCCTCCCTTTAGGACCACATCCATTCTCCCCTGACCAACTCAAGGCAGCCCCCTCCCCCTCTCCCAGCCACGGATACCTACTCCTTGAGCTCTGTATAGATGGGCAGCACCTCAGGGTGGCAGACAAAGGCGAAAGCCATGATGGGGATCGTGTACGCCGTCTGGCAAAACAGGGATTCTGTGTCAGAACAGCCCCTGACACTCTCACCAGGCCCACTGCCCCCTCCCTGGTCTGTTGCAACCTGTGTGTTGAGGGTGAAGTAGCTCGGGGTGCAGAAGGCTGCGGCCTCCGTCTCAACCTGCAGCCCCGCCTCCTCCTTGATGACCTCCACGAGGCTGAAGTTGCCTGTCACGTTGGCTAAACTGGGGGACAGCGGGCAGGGCACGTGGAACTTTTTGTAGATGACCTAGGTGGGGGCAGGGAAGGATGAGGGTATCAGGGCCAGGCTAGGCTGCCTGTGGAGTCACTGTGAAGCCACATCTAGATCAGGACTGGAGGAGCTGCCTTCTGACCCAGGCTTCCCAGAAAGACCTGCCCCCCTCCCTCGACCAGCGTGGGGGGGGGGTCACTCACTGCAATTAGGAAGAACACCATGCAGCTGAGAGAGAAGCCACTGGAGTAGCCTAGGTAGCCTGTAAAGTTGGGGAGGGGGGTGGTGAGACCAAAGGTCCCCTCCCATGCATCCCTCTAAGGCCCTGGCCCTGCCACACTCACCAAGCTGCCGCATCAGTGCCAGAGGCAGAATGACGATGACAGAGACCAGGATCACCAGGTAGTTTCCATTCATGTACCAGTCCCTGCAGGGATGGGAGTGGGGAGCCGATATTAGAGTCCACTCAGCCTCGGGTGATGGGGCCGCCTGACCCCCAGCCGGGGTTACCCGTGGTGCCACTGAGTGATCTCTGAAGAATACTTGTCCACAGCTCTGAGCCTCCCTTTCCCCATCTGCAAAATGGGCCCACTCCCAACACTCTCCTGGACAAGGTGAGGACTAATACACTCAGCTCCTGCTTGGTAACCATTACAATTACAGTCACTGTGGTTGTTTTTCCTAGGACACACAGGTCTGGGTCCATCCTCCCCATGGAGTGGCCCCAAGGGGCCCGAGGGGGTGGGTGGGATGAAAGGACCTGGGTCTGAGGCATTTTCCATGGGGGTCTCAGGGACTTGCCAACCACCTGAGCTCCTTGTGGTTCCCCCCAGCATCTGCATCCTGCATCATCCTGCCCCACGCCCTCAATGGACAGTGGACACAGGGAGCTAAAGGGATGAGGAATGAGACCTTCCTTCAAGGGCAAACCCAAAGGCCAACTCCTTGGGAAAGGCCCCCAGGGCCTGGCGGCAGAATCCTGGCTGTTTCCCTCCTCCCAGAGCTACTTGCAGCCATGCAGCCTTTCTGCTTGCCGGGGCTGTATTGTCAAGGGCAGGGCCTGGCTATCTTCTCTGCTCCTACCCACAGAACATGCTTATGCCATGAGAACTGGCTAAACTGATGATAGGCAACTGGGACACTGTAGGCTTAATTTCTTGGTTGGGGCGAGGTGGTGGGGAGGCTAACACCCAAGCCACGGTCAGAAATAGCAGGAGCTTAGAGCTAAGCCAGAGGTTCTCAGGTGCTCTGTGCTCACAGGCTGGGTCCACGGCTAGGCGGGCCGGCTTTCTCAGCCTCAGACTACCCCCTGCCCCACATGGCCCTCCTGGGAGTCTTCCCCAAGGTGCTTCATAAACAAGTGTGCACAGAATGGTAGCTCTGCCGGCAGCTCTCTGCGCCCCACCTCCACCCTGTCTTGTCTCTCCCACTAGCCCAGCCTGGGCTCTGCTAGTGGTGGACATAGAGGGTTAGACTAGGGCCTCCCACCCTCACCCAGCCCCGCCCCACCCTGGGGCTCACGAGGTCCGCTCCTCCAGGTTCAGGAAGGTCTGTATGACAAGGGGCAGCTCGGACTTGATGATGTACAGGTAGCTGGACATGGCTGGGGGGAGAGAGGCAGGTCAGCCAAACCAGCCAGGCTTCAGCCTGTCCACCGTCCATCACCTGCCCATCAGCCTCACCTCCGATGTTCTGCAGCGCAATGGCCAGGGCTGCCGCCAGCTTTCCTGGGGTCCCAAAGGCACGGTAGCCCAGCTGCTCATAGGCACGGATGCCTGTGGGGACAGGGAATCAGGACAGTCAGGAGTGCTCTCCTCAGCCCACTCCTCCCTGCTACAGGCCAGGTTTGGGGCTCACCCACGATCCCTGAGGACTTGAGTAGCAGGTGGATGGAGTAGCTGGAGAGCAAGGCGACGGCCGTCAACAGGAACCTGGGGAAGGTGGACGAAAAGAGGTCGCTGGGGCTCCTCTGGCAGGCAGGGGGCAATGAGCTCCGGGAGGCCTGGGTGTGCGGGGTCTGTGACCCAGGTGTCTGGACCCCCAACATGTGTGGATGCAAACTCAGCAGGCCCCAGGGGTGGTGAACATCACCTGGGCTGACCCAGGGTGGCCATGACCCAGAAGGGACCCTCTGAGCACCACCTCCCCTTGAGATCTTGGAAGAAACATGTTTTCCATTTAGGCTGCAGGGCAGAGCTCTGAGGTAAGGACACGTGTACCCACAGAAGGCCTGGCCATGGGGTTTATCCATCATGTGTAAATGTGGTAGGACAGACTCAGTCCTGTTAGGCTGGCCCCGTGTTGTCATCTCAGCGGGTTTACTGGGAAATGAGGTATATTTGTCTGGCCACGGCTGTTTTTTTCAGCTGTGGTTTGGGTTGAGTGTAAGTGCCCACCCACTGCAGCCTGGGTCTTGTGACAGGAAACTGGCAGGTCCTGGGAGGTCAGGATCGGTGGCCTGTTTAGGGCTCCTATCTTTAGAAGGTTCGCTGAGGGCACTCACAGGAAAAGGATGATGCCCGTATTGGCCATGGCGTAGGCGAGCCCCAGGATACCACTGCCCATGATGGCGTTACTGAGGTTGAACACTGACATCCCGAATGATGTCTTCCCCTCGAACTGCAGGCACCAGAGTGAGACGGGAGGGGTGGGATGAGTTAGTAAGTTGTGGAGGGTAAATCAGCATTCCCTCACACCATCCCTTGGCCTCCCATCGCTGCCCCATAGCACCTCATTACTGCCCTCAAGCTCCCAGGGGTGCCCCCGAGCCCCTGATGGCCACCCCTGCTCACATCAGTGAAGTGTGGCTCCTTGCTGGGACTTTTTGGTAGGAAGCCTTCACCCTCAACACAGATCCGTCCAGGGCCCTCGACCCTGCAGGCACAGACCAGCCAGGCAGCTCAGCTCCAGCCCCTTGCCCTGCACCCTGCCCTGCCCTAAGCCATGAATGAGTCCCTCGCTCACCTCTGGTTGCCAGCCATGGGGGTGGCGACAGGGAGTAGCCCCTCCAAGTGTTTGCCGTTGGGTACCAACTCTACCATCTCCGTCTGCAGAGGTGCCTCCATGGCTCAGGGACCACCACCAGGAACACTGGCTCTCACACTGACGCGGTCAGAAGTCTACAGAGCAGGCAGTCCCCCTGGTTATCCCCGCTCCTTGGGCTCACAGCCCAGACTCCCACAGGAAGTGTGCAGCTGTAGCACACCTCCCAGAAGTTCACTGAGGACATACATGTTCATGCAGCTCTGCCTGCTGCCACCCTGGAACCTGCCATTGAGGGGCAGAGCTCAGATACCTGAGTTCTCCAGGACATTCTGAGGTGACACCTCAGCCAGTACCTAGCACTCCCCTGCCACATATACATACCGACCCAGGCAAGCCCTTGGGGCCTCAGTTTCACCATCTGTGAAGTAAAGCTCAGTTGGATGACCTAAGTTCAGAGCCCAGTGGTGTCAGGACCCCAGGAGGCTGAGTCCCAGGCCACCAGACCCCACTCTGGGGATGGGTCCTGGACTGATTGCCCCTCCCTGATATTAATACTGGGAGACAGTTTCCTGTGCCCTGTGTGCCAGGGGCCTCCTAGCCAACCTAGAATGGCGCTGCCCGATGGCTGGAGGCCTCGGGAGAGGGCGAGGGCTGTGGGCCCTGTTCCCAGCCACCCGGCGGGCTTTGCTGGCAGCCAGAACAAAGGTCCCTCTGTGGGCTGAGAGCTGGCGCTGGGAACGGCAGGCGCAGAGGCTACCCCCCCGGAGCCAGGAGGCCTAAGGCGGTGCTGGGTGGCTGGACACCTGGACCCTGCCCGCTTGGCTGCAAAGGGCCCTCAGGGGCCTTCCAGGAAATGGGTGCCTTGGGGCCCAGTTCTTTGGGCCACACAGGCCTCACCCTCCACACAGCTCTGGCCTCAGGGCCATGTTCTCTTTCAAGCCTCTCCTCCCCTGCTGGGGAACCCCCCACCCTTAGGTACCCACACTTTGAGGAGACTCCCCACTTCCTGGAGCCCCAGGTCAGGAACTCAGAACCTTGGCCAGCTGTAGACGGGCCTGGACCACTGGATCAGTCTTCCCTGCTCTGCTGGACCCCAAAGGGATCAGCTCCCCTCCTCCCCAGGCCCAACTCTGCCCACTGCCCAGACAACTCGCTAGCCCCTCGCCCATCACTGGCGCTGGGAGCCACCTAGCCCATGCCCAGAAGGTACCTGGGCATCGTGTCCCCAGGATCTATAAGGACATCCTGAAGGCCAGATAGGCCAGCAGGAGATTTGAGGCCAGAGTGGAGACCAGGGAGGGGGCAGCACTGCCAGGCAGGTCAGCCAGAGGCTAGTCTTGATGTCATGGCACCCCCTCCACTTGGGAACCCTGAATCCTGCCCCAAATCCCCCATCCCCACTCCAGATCCTGAGGGTCTCAGGTCTGCTCCTGAAGCTGGAGCACCAGGGGTCTCAAACTCAGCATTCAGGGCAGGGTGGGTAGGGGAGGCTAGGCTCAGGACTCGGGCCTCAGGCCACAGGCCCTGGTGTTCTGGAGGCAGCAGCCACACAGAACTGACCAGAGGACCTCCCTGCAATGGCCCCAGGCAGCCCCAAGCCAGAGTTCAGATCCTAGGTACCTCAGTCCTGAGTACCCCATACCTGGCACCCTTGGACCCCTCAACCTACCTCTCCTTCCTCTGATGCTGGCATCTGAACCCTTCTCTCCTCCAGCCTGTCCACATAGGATCATGACAATTTGAGCATCTCTTCTAACGCCCTCTTCCCCTGGACCAGAGTCCCTAAGGTAAGCCTGTCTTCTTCATGCCCCTGCCCTGAGCCTCACCAACAGCACCCCTCCAAGGATACCAGCACCTGGTCTCCAGAGTCACTCCAGAGTGCCCCCTGGCTCTCAGCTGGGGTTGCCCTTGCCTGGCCTTCCGCCCGGGGCAGGCTTGGACAGGCCCTCCGAGTGTGCTGAGTCAGCAGCCTGGACAAAGCACTTTCTCTGCCTTAATATTCCCTAGTAGCCAGGCAATGCCTCCAGGGAGACCACAGCCCATGGCATGGTCATGGCCAAAGTGCCTGAGGCCCTGGCTCCAGGCTCCCCATCCCCTCAAGCAGGACCTGGGCCTAGACCTTCAGGTCCTGCCTATTACTCATGACCAGTCACTGCTGGGTCTCAGGCTGGCCTGAGATCCCAGAGAGGACATGGAATACTCCTCTTCAAGTGGCTTCCAGTCTGGAAGGGACAAAACCCACACAGACATCCCCCACCCTATGGCTCCTGCAGGGGAACCCCAGCACATAGTGTGGCTTTTAACCAAGCCACATAGTGCTGGGACTCAAAAAAGAAGAGAGAGGGGCATCAAGGAAGGCTTCCTGGAGGAGGAGGTGAGGGAGCCAGTTCTGAAATTCCAGCAGGAGCCCCCAGGATGTGGAAACAAGCAAGAGTATCTCAAGCAGAGTGCACAGCATGGGCAAAGGCCCTGAGGTATGGTATAAGGCAGGCTGTGAGGATAGAATGAAGGTTCCGTGGCTATAGACAAGCCTGAAAGGGCCTTGAAGTCAAGGTCAAGGAATCTGTACTTCAGTTAGGGCAAGGCTAAGGGCTGGGGGGCCAGGGTAGAGATTAGTACTGGCCTGACATGTGGACCTCCAGGCATTTCCTGAGGCTGGCAGCCCATTTTTGACAGTTCCTGTCTCTCAGGCCTGCCGCCTGCCAGGCTCCTTTGCATCGGGTATCGGAGTAGACTCAGGGGATAGCCCCTGCCTGAGGAAAGCTGCCAGCAGATTCTGACCAACTGTGGGAAAAGCCCAGAGTGGACACTCTGGATCTGAGGCCTGACCTGGCCCTGCCTCACCATGTGACCATGGACAAAGTATTCCCCACTCAGGACCTCAGTGTCTTCCTGTCTTCCGGGGGTTCTGTGAGGTTTGACCAAAGGTGGGGACAGAGTGAGAAGCCTCCCTGAGGACTTCGCTCCCAGAGCAGACCACAGGCTCCCAGAGAGGGGTCAGGCTCTTGGGTGGGGAGATCACTGCGACCTTGGGCAGATCATCAGAATGGCATCTGTCATGGGTGTAGCATTGGTTCAGGCAGTAAATCGATGGTCCAGGCCACTGCCCTGGGGCCTGTTTGCTCTGTGGAGAGATAAGGGGGGGGGGGTGTGCAGAAGCCATGGGGATAGCATAGCAGGTAATGCCCGCCCACGCAAACATCACAGGGTGAGAATTCGTCAGGCACACCTCCTCGACAGGCGTTGAGTTTGGCTAATTAAAGATTTCGAGATCCAGGAATCCAGGCCACCGTGGGGCCACTGCTTGTGTCAGCTGCTATGGGAAGCTCACCTCTCTGTCCCCACATCCAGGGCCTTGGAGCCACCAGGGCTCTGAGCCCGACTTTCCTCCCCAGTGATCAGGGACGTGAGTGGGTCTGCAGTAGCAGGCTAACTACAGGGAGTCAGTCACACTGTCCTTCTTCCCTCGGTCTGTAGCCACATGTGCTGGTGGAGGCACAGACCCCACAGAGCTTGCTGCCATGGCCCCTAGGCTCCTTGTGCCTGGGCAGCCCTCACCTTAGCTCAGATCTCAGGTGAGAGGCGGCTGGCCTGGCTTAAGGGTCCACTGTGGTCATCCCTGGGGGCCCACGGATGAGGGCTGCCCCCAGTTCTAGTTCACCAGTCCTTACTTACCACTCCCCTCATTAGCTGAGAGAAGGTGTCCCTCCCTAGAGCCCCTTTGCCCACCCGCTTCTCCAGGTTTCAGAAGGATAACACCCCCCTCGGACAAGCTATCAGTTAACAGGGAAACTGGATTCAACAGACACACCTGGATTGTATGTTCTCAAGGCAGAGCCACAGAGATTGGTGTGGAGCTGATTGCTGAGGTCAGGGGTCTAGGGACAGGGTGTGTGGGCGGGTGTTCGGAACGCGGGAGGATACTAAAACAAACCCCTTGCCCCTCCACCAGACCCACAACTCCAGATTTTGACATCAGCAGATCCAATCTTCCATCCACTACTCCCCCATTGCCAACAACACCGAGTAAGTGGCTAGTGTGTGGCCAACATACGGCTGGTACTGAGGGGGTAGCATGCAGGAGGGGAAGGCAAATGGTGCAGAGCACTGATGTGTTGGCCACACCAGCCCCTCATCCCCTAGCTCTCTGGCCTGGTGCTTCTGTGTTCCGGGTATCCGGAAGTGTCTAGGAGGATCTGAGGGCCCCAGCTGGGGCCGGAAGATGGACTTTCCTGTGACAGGGTACATTTTCTAAACCTAACAGACGCTTAGCATTGGGCCTATCCCCAGACACCTAGGCCTCCCCTTCTGCGCACCCCTGGACCCTCCTTGCTCAGATTGCCCCCAGTGGAAGCTGCAGTCGGAACCTCTTGCCTCAAGACTGGGCCAGAGCCAGCAGCAGCCCCCCGCCCCCCACTGCCAGCCTGCTGAGAAGGACGTGCAGCCCGAGGCTCAGCTGAGGCAAAGGACAGGACATCACGTGCCTGTGGCCCCCCCAGGGGCAGGGGAGACCCCGAGCCAGCCAGCCCATCCTCCTCCCTGCTGACTCGGAATCCCCTGGAGGCGGCCAAATATTTGGACAGCCGGACTTCTGGCCCCAAAGAAAGCTGGAGTGGGGGCCTGGGGCAGCTCAGGACTCACTGGAGACCCCGATGGGGGGGCAGAAGGCAAGGTCAGCCCAGAGGAGAGGCGCCATCCAATGTCAGGAAGAAGCAGAGAGAGTCAGAGGGAGGGCAGAGAGAGACAAGGAGAGAAAACACACACACATGATATCTGTGTCCATGCATACTGATCCAGACCAAGAGACAGGCACGGGGAGATAAAGAAATGCAGACGGATCTAGAGGGACACAAATAGAGAAGAATACACAGAGAGATGGGTGGATAGACATTCAGACAGGGAGACAGACAACCAGATAAGTGAGAGACAGATCGACAGAGATGGCCAACCATTTAGAGATAGCCAGATGGAGAAAGAGACAGAGAGATAGCAAGACAAGACAGAGCATCCCAGAAGGTGCAAGAAGTAGAGGGAGCCAGAGGCCCAGGTGAGGGGGCAGCAGGCCCAGTGAGCACTGCAGGGATGCCACAGCATTTCCAGGTTCCTACGAGGGCAGGTTATGCTCCCATTAGCCAGGTGCAGACATCCAGAGGGTGGGACTGAGCCCACTGGGGCCACAGGCCAGGCCCAGCTGGAAAGCTCAGAGCCCCCTAGTCCAGCACCCATGGCTTGTCTACCCACACAATAGGAAAGGTATACGGAGAGGACAGTCAGTTGAAGTGACCCCCATCCTCAGCAGCCATGCACGTGTGCAGACGTGCTGGCTGAGAGGCTGTGTACAGGACGTGGCCCGCAGAGCGGAAATTCAAATCCAAGCCACCCCAGGCCGCTGGCCGGAAAGCCCCTCCTGCCCAGCAGCTGGTCCTTCCCTTCGGCCCCCAGAAGCCCTGCCTGGTCCTCTAGAGCGCCCCCACCATGCATCTGTCTTATCCAAAGTCCAGCCCTCCATCCACCAGATTGAGTGTGCACAGGCACACAGTAGGTACTCAGTAAATATTAAATAAATAGAATGGGTTCAAGGTCTTTGGCAAGCCTCCACCCCATTTCACCTGCTCCAAGTGGCGCCTGGCTCCCCAGCCATGTCTGCACTGGAACATCCTCCTGCAGTGCCCCTATCCTATTATGGTATAGACTGCACATCCCGTCCCAGTTTTCTGTGCACACAGATGCCAAAACTGTACCTCTCTTGTAGCCAACCACTCCCCCAAAACATTTTCCCCCTCAGACTGAGTGCCTGCACCCTGCCCAGCCCAGACTTTCAGGGTGCACTCAGTTCAGCTCAAAAACCTTCCCTGCCCCCCACCCAGAGACCATGAACCACCCAGCTTGTCCTGTTGCACCTCAGTTTCTCCACTTTTCCAGGGCTCTAAGGCTACTTGCTAGGGCAGCAGGCACTAGGACAGGAGCAACCAGCTCTCATGCTCTTGCCACCTGAAGCCTGGATGGGGGGGATGTTTGTGACATGGGCCCAAAGAACCAGTACAGAACAAAGGGTGGCTTGGGAAGCCAGTGAGGACAGTGGCTCTATGGGCCCAGGCAGAACAAAGTTCTGAGATGTACACTCCCACCCTCCCCAGAGACACAGCCCCCAGCCCTCAACCTCAAGGAGTCCGAGATTCTCATTACTGATCCCAGCATTCCAGCCCTCTTAGGGATGTGCCAGGCCTGGCCTCATCCACCCCTGATTTTTCCCACCTTTGGTGCTTCCTGCAGGAAGCCTTCCATGTTTGTGCAGAACCTCCCCCTCTCAAAATGGACCTGTCCTTGGATCTCTCCAGCTTGCTATGCTCCAGACTGAGAACCTCTGAGGCATTTGCTTCCTTTCCAGAAGGAAGTGAGCCCCCATGCCAGACTGTGTACTAGAGAGGAAGGGCCCCTTTCAGGTCCAGCACAGTGGCTGAAGGCAGTCATGGAAGGAAGGACAGGACTGGCAGGCTGAAAGAAGGATGGGCCTGGGTCGAGGTGGCTCCCACGGGGCAAGGACCTTTGACTTAGTCTCCCCAGACCTGTCCCAAAGCCTACACCTGGGCTCAGGGCTCAGGTTACTGTGGGGGGGAAAGGATGGATTCCCACAGGCCCCGCCCCTGGCCTCCCCCTCCCCGGGTGTAAACAAACGCACGCACTCGCTGTGGCCAATCGAAGGGGCCAATCGGGTGGGGGCGGGCTCCTGCAAACCTAGTCCCGGTCCTTTCCCTCCGCCCCTGAACGCACTGTCAGCTCTAGGAGCTCAGACCGAGCCTCGCCCTCAATCCAGGGAGCCACGCTCGCCCTATGCCCGCCATGCCCGCTGGCCTGGCTGCAAATGGCACGGACTCTGGGACCAACATGTGCCACGCGGCCCCTCAGGCAGCCTGGCCCGATCTGCCCTCAAGCCCCTGCCTAACGCAGCGGGATAAATATACCCTGACGCCCGGCGTGCCAGCGGGCCGATTTGCTTGTCAGGCGCCCGTCGGGGCAGCGCTCCAGGGCCTGCTCCCGGCCCTCTTAGGCCCCCCTCCGGGCCCTCTCGAGCTCGCGCCCTTGGACCGTGCCTCGGGAAACCCATCGCGTGCCACCCTAGCCCCCAACAAGGCGTCCTGTGACCCCAGCCCTGGGTGCTGCCGACCTCCTGCTATCCCGCCCGGCCCTGCGAGAGGCCCCAAGACCACGAGGTGCTCCTCCCAGGACACTAGCTCAAGCTGGGAGCTGGCGGGTCCCCAGACCTGCGCCTGGAGCGCTCGGGGCTTTGGCTCCCCGGAGGCTGGGGCGCCTGCCCGGAGCCAGGGCGGGCGAGGGGACCTGCCCAGAGCCCAGCTCCGGACGCGAAAGTGGACAGTAGGGCTCCGCCCGCTCGGTGCCCCTGGACGGGGGGTCGGCGCCCCCAGCAGTACCTGGCCTCGCGGGTGAGGACGCGCGATGCTCAGCTCGGGCCGGTGCTGTCCGCTCTCCTCCCGGCTGAGCGCAGCGGCAGGGGATGAAGGGCGCTCGGCCCCGCCCCCGGCCCGCCCCTGGCCCGCCAATCCCCCGCGGCCAGCAGGAGGAGGGGCAGGTCTGAGGAGAGGCGGGGGCCCTCCACTGGCCTGGAGCAAAGGGGCAGCCTGAGCGCTAAGGAGCCTTAGGAGAGCAGCTGCTGCGGGAGGGGCTCAGTTGAATCTTGTTGGGGGAATGCTTTAGTCCAAAGCAGATTCTCTCTGAGGTCTCTGAGCGCCCCCTAAGCCCTGAAATGCTCTGCCCTCACTTCCCTCAAGCCAGAAGGGGCTCTTCCGCTAAGAGGAATGGGAACAGGGCCATGCTTAATCTCAGCGAAGGATGCCTTGAATGGGGGACTTTAACATCACTTAGGCACAAGATGTCTTTTCTGCCTGCCTCACCCTTCCCAAGCAGAGGTGGGATAGGGTGAGGACAGGGGCTCCCTGCATCAATTCTGTCTTCACCCCAGATACTCAGAAAAGATTGAGGGTAGACAAGGGTAGGGGCAGTGAGGACGGGGCGGGGGTGGGCAGAGGGTGCGGGAAGCAAGTCTTGGAGTCTTGGCTCACGCTGAGCCTTGTCTGGATCTCCCTGGCCATGCCCCCATTTCCTTATTTCTAAAGAGTAGGAGAGGGGCTTCCCTGGTGGCGCAGTGGTTGAGAGTCCGCCTGCCGATGCAGGGGACACGGGTTCGTGCCCCGGTCCGGGAAGATCCCACATGCCGCGGAGTGGCTGGGCCCGTGAGCCATGGCCACTGAGCCTGCACGTCTGGAGCCTGTGCTCTGCAATGGGAGAGACCACAACAGTGAGAGGCCCGCGTACCGCAAACAAAAACAAAAACAAAAATAAAGAGTAGGAGACAGCTGTGTCTGCCCATGGGAAGTGGGGCCTGGGACTTTGTGCCTCAGGGGAAGGGGTTTTAGGGTGACCCTACCTGGCTGAGGGCTCCTATCCCACCCCTGCCTGCTTCCCACCCAAGGCCTTAGTGCTCAGAGGTGTGTGGTGGGTGTTAAGGCCCACCAGCCCAGGAGCAACCAGCAGGGAGCTGGGGGAGGCCTTGACCTTGGGGGTGAGCTGGGGGGGGTGTTTGCAGAACAGCTGTGTCCCTTGCTTCTCAGCCACTGGCTCTGATCCGATTAATCCATGGCCTCTGCTGTTCCTAGTCAAGCTGGATGTCTCTGTGTCATGTCTGCCCCCCTCCCTGGTATTGGGGAGAATGCCCTCAGAGGACAGGCCTCACCCCTTCCCTGTCCTGGGCTGGGAGTCAGGACTCCAGGATTCCCTTCCGCCCGACTCACAGCACCCCCGCAGCCAAGCCCTAGCGTACCTCAGTTTCCCTCTGCGTCACAAGGAAATGGCTCTGGCTTTTCCCATGGCCTGAAGGCAGTGGGTTAAGGGGAAGCTGTGAGCCAAGGGGACTCAGCTTTGGCTGGGAGAACCAGGGGATGGGAGGACTAAAGAGAAAGGCATTGGGATGGTGGCAATCCTTGAAAACCTCAAACCATCTAAGCTCCCTCCCTGCTGATGGCTGAAAAATAGGAAGGGACTGGCTCTACCCCTTGATCTGGGGCTGGTGTAATCCCAGATCACAGCTTACTTTGGTCATGAGAGACCCTAAGATTCTCACCCTTTGAAGGGGCTTGAGGACTGCCTGTGGGACAGAGTCAGATAGGAGAGGTGTTGACCAGGGTCTCAGATCTGCCCCCCACCTCCCAACTCCAGACACCCTGGATGCTCACAGAAGCCATTTGCAAAGGGCTGGGTGCTCCTATTGGCAGTTCCTGAGGAGCCAGGCCTGGCTTCAAGGTCACCCAGCATGTGGGTGTTGGGGTCCTCAACCCAGACCAGCTGGGCTGGGCTGCTGTGGGAGCCCTGAGGGTGGTGTGAGGTGGGGTCCCTGGGCCAGGCCAGTTGTGGCCAGGCTGGGGGAGGGGCTGCCCGATTGTTGATGCTAGGCCCGGGCCCCAGCCAGGGCAAGCACAGCTCAGAGGCCTTTCCCACCACCTGCCAAATCTCCCAGCCCAGCCTGAGGTGGCTGGACAGTTGGCAGCCATTATGGGGCTCTGAGAGGTACCAGGCATCTTCTCCCAGAGGCTGAAGGGAATGTCTATCTACGCAGCTGCTGTGCTGGGGGCAGCCACCTGGAGTGGAAGGGGGGGAGCTTTATCTCAACCTTCGGCCCAGTCCCCTACCTCCACTCCCCCATCTCCAGAATCTGAGACACAGGCCCAAGAAACTGTCAGAGATATGAGACAGAACAGGATCCTAGAATCACTCAGACTCTCCTTCCAGGGTCCTGGCAGCCCTTTGCTCTGTTCCTCCCTCTTTAGCCTCCAGTTAGGCAGCCCCCTCTCACCACACCAGCACCTCCCCTGGCACACCATCTACACAGTGTCCCAAGACCCTCTTTTACAGTGAGGCCCCATCTTCATGTCCAACCCAGTCCTCCCCAGAGCCTAGCATCTGTATCCACTGATTCCTCGGACGCCCTGCAAGCACCTGCCTCACACCCAGCTGGCCTCTTCACCTCCCCCACTGCCCGGCTGTTCCAAGAACATGCCAGCCTTCACCTCCCTGTGCCTCTGCCCTCCTGGTTCCCCATCCTGTCCCACCTCCTTGGCAAACTCTCACTTGTCCCTCAATACCCAAATGAAAGATCGCCTCTGAGAACCATGCCTGAGCCCCTGGAAGAGCCAGCTCATCCTACCCTGACTGCGGCTGCTCTTGCCGCCCCACCACACAGCCCCAGGCTCGGTGTCTCCAAGCGCTCTGCGTGGGCCCTCTAGACAGGAAAGCTCCTGCCAGGTTAGAGTGTGCGGATCAGGAAAAGCCTGATGGAGAAGCAATCCGTGGGCTTGGCTCTGCCAAGGGGAAGAAAGGCACATGCCAGGGTGGGGAAGAGAGGGTACTGAGGATGGAAGGGACAGCTTGGCCACAGGGAACCTTGAGTGCATGTGGGATTGGCACTGATAGGCGGAGGGCTGTGTGCAGGGGCGGGACCCTTGGCCTGGAGTCATGTTGGAGCTTTCAAGGCCTCACAGGTGAGGGTGGTTCTCACCTCCATACCTCAGGCTTGAGGACCCACACCCATAGCTCCTGAATATACTCTGCCCATCCTGGTGTCTGGGAGGCTCCTCTCCGGGCACTAGCAGGGGTGTGGGGTTGTGGAAGTATAGAGGGCATCCGTAGGCAAACCCACCTCTCTGATTCTCCCCTGGCCTGAGTCCACAGAGCTGGTGACCTCTAGGCTGGAGCCTGCCCCCACAGTCCCGGAGGGCCCCCCTCTCTCCCCTGAGCTCTGGCACCCAGCTTCTCTGGCCACTGAAGCGGCTTAATGTGCCCAGGTCACGTGGGCCGTGCTACTGCCCGTGGGGAGGGCCCAAGCCCCCACCCAGTAGCCACCCGACCGGGCCCTGACGTCAGCAGCATTAACGGTTCGCCAGGCCTGTCTAATCTCTGTTCCGTGGCTGGGCCAGGTTAGTCCCGCCAGAGCCAGAGTCGAAGGCTGGGAAGGCCCCCAGGGGCACCTTGAGGTTGAGGTCAGGCAGGGATGGTGGAGGCTGGAGGTGCCCACAGTAAATGCCCCCTGCCTACAAGACCACGGTGTGGACACTGTGCCGACTCTGTGCCAGCTCCCTCTGATCCTTGGCCTTGGACTGTGAATCAGGCATTAGGCACCCATTGATCCTGCTCGTAAGGGTGCAATTACACAGGTGGGGTAAGCGGGGCTGAGGAGGCTTCAGGCCAGGAGACTCGACCCCCAGCCCCCATACTTGCTGGCCATGAACAGGGCAGCTTGAGGCCAGGCAGTGTCCTCAGTCCATGGGATCCAAGAATATTGGTTCAGAATCCCAGTCCCTAGGGTCAGAACCTGGAGCGTGGGGTCCAGGCCCTGCATGGTGTTTGGCCTCCTCTCTGTCCCTTGCCTAGGAAGGCTGGGGAGCTCATTACCTTCGTTCCGAGACAAGGTGGCCATGAGGAAGACCCCATTAACCCACCTCTCCCGCAGCTTCCTCTGTCTCAAGCCTGCCACTGCCAGCTTCTCAAAGCCTTCTGTCTTCCGCCTTGCCCCTCCCCACAAATCCCGCCATCACTCTCCCCTGCCCCACCTCACTCCAGTAAATTGTTTGGGCAGAGGGTCCTTAGCAGGGATGAGCAGCCCAGCTCAGCCAGGCCCAAAACCACCCAGTGAGGTCCTGAACCACTGGCCTGAGCCTCATCCTCCCCTCAGGACTCTAAGCAACACCATTGTGGCTGCCCATGTGTCCTGGGCTCTCTAACCCATCCAGCGTCCCTCCCCTCCACCCCATGCTCAGGCCTGGGCACCCTCACTCTCCCCTTCTAGCCCCGCACAGGCTCACAGTGCCACTTCCACCTGAACATTGAGGATGCTGCCCACATGCTGCCTTCTGCCCAGCCCCAAGTATCTGTCTGACTCCTGGACCTCTCCCCCAAGTGGCCACAGGTCCAGAAAACTCAGTCCCCTCAACACTCCTGTGCAGTCCCAGCTTGGTGGGGGCATCACATGCACTTGGTCACTACACAGATCCAGACCCTTGTCAGTGAGTCCCACTCCTTGCAGATCCTGGCTCCGCGGGGTAATGACGTAAGTCTCTTCCTCATGGACCCTCCCAGCCCCACTCCTCTCCTCCCCCATGCCCAGCCCCCAGGAAAAATATGTGCCCCTATATACATGTTTTTATGAAAAATTTTAATGATTATTTTTTCCAGAAACAGATTTGGAAAATATCATTGACGATTTTATTTCCATTAAAGCCAAGAAAATAAAAGTATAAATTCTGTTTTAGGTATAAATAAAATATTTAATATTAAAGTAATATTGTGAGTTTTAATATACCTACTTACAATTTGTTTGATGTTTTTTCAACTACTTTAATGTTCTGTAAAAAAAAAATTAACCTTTAAAAATACATAAAAACATATATAGGAGTGGACATTTTTCCTTTTGCTTCAGGGTCCAATATGGCTCTGCAGGGTTCTCTTGGATCTTGTCTTTATTTAAAATTTTGATATTCTGTTCATTATGGATTTTTTGGCAGTAATTTTGATTTTTGAAAGTATTGCATTAATATTTATCTTGATTACTGATTTTTTTGGCATCACCTTAAATCTTAATACCTGAGGTGAGTGCCTCATTTGCCTCACCCTAATCCCAGCCCTACAATTATGTTCTAGCTTCAAGGGCTTCCTGGACCCATCATCTTCTGGAGGAAGCACAGGCCCTTAGGCTGGCGTTTGGCACCTGCCCAGTCTCCCCACCCCGTCTCCCCTTCCCTGCTCCTGTTCCACTGAACTCCTGTGGTCCACCAGCCCATGTTCCTGGGCCTTATACACACTACAGTCCCTGCCAGAATGAGCTTCCACCTCACAACCCCCTCTTGATCCAACATCGTCCTTGTGAACATTTCCCACGGCTCCTTTCCCCCTCTCAACCCCTCTCAAGACCCCAAATTGATCCCATGCCCCCAAGAGTGCCCCCTGCCATGTTAGGTCAGGTGCTTCTCCCTGGAAGGGACCACCTTCCCACTCACGTCCAGCCCAGCACTGGGCACTTAATAAATTTGCATGACTCATGATCATTAACACTCTCCCCCTCCCCCCAAGAAAGGACAGCTGGGGCCTGATGCAAAGATTTATTGCTGAGTCTGTGTATCTAGCTGAAGGGAGTGCAAATTATGCCCTGGCCTTGTTAGACGGATGCTCCTTGCCCTCGACTACAGCACAGGCCCCAGCCCACGGGCATCAGCGAGGACTTGGTGCTTGATGAGGAAGTAGGGAGCAGGGGTGTGGGGACATGGATGCCTTTGTCACTGATGGTTCAGGCATGGATCTCAGTTTTTCCCACCAGGGAATGGGCCCTGAATGGGAAGGATGAGAGAAGCTGCTGGCAGGGACAAGAGGGTCACCTGGGTTTGCTTATGACCCTACCTGAGGCAGACCCCTCTGGGCACAATCTGGGCCTCCTTCCTGTCCCAAATCCCCTGCCTGGGGCTGATCGATGGGAGCCGGACTCTGCTCCCAGCCACCCCTTAGGACAGTTCAGCCATTGGCCACAGCTGGTGTCAACAGCACCCTCCCTCAACAGACTGGCCTGGAGTACTGTGGGTGTGTAAGTAAGTAGGACATGAATACAGTGTCCAAGCATGGAGGGGGCAGAGCCTGTGGGGGAAGGGGTTAGGATATGTGGGGAAGGGTCCAGCTTGAGTCTCTTCCTGGCACCAGGAGCTCCCAGGCTTGCCCCCACTCACTAATTCGTCTATGTATGAGTTTCACAGGCCAGAGCTGGCTTGGACTTTGGACCCCTAAAGCTGCCGGGTGGGGCAGTCACTGGCCACTGGGCAGATGGGTGTCAGACTTGTCACATGGAGGTGGTAAGGCTAGAATGGGCTGATGGTAAGCAGCAGGCCTGCTTGGAGGAGGGTTCCCTTCCTGCCCCCCTGCCCTTCATGAAACTCTGGGAGGGAGGGCTGTTTGCTGAACCCAGACCCACCAGGTGAATCACGGGCCTCCTGCGGCAGGAGAGCAGCAGGAGATTGGTCAGTGGGGTACTGCTGAGTCACCGTGAGCTGTAGCTGCCCCAAGTACTGCTTGCTCCTAGCTGGGGCTGGCTGTGGTGGGTCCTGGAGGCCAGTGCAGCCAGGCCATGAAGGGCAGTGCTGGGGTGGCTGGGGGCACCGGACTCTGGGAGACCAGGGAATCCTGGGAGCCATGGGGGAGGGTAAGTCCCTCAAGGTTAGCAGGGCTTAGGGTTTTGAATCTGTGGCTGGTGAGGCCACAGGCTGGGGCCCAGGAGTCCTGGGGGGCTGGTAGGGGTCATGCGGATTGGGGCTACAAGGCAGCAAGGGCTACAGGGTCTCAGGAATGCATGAGTCCAGGCACCTGTGAAGAGAAAAAGGAACAGAGTCAACATTCCTAAGCGCCCAAATAATTGGGTTTAGACTGAGAGACAGGTGGAGGTGGGCTTGGAAGCAGTGACACCTGGGGGGTTGGGGCGGGGTCAAAAGAGCTTGAGTGGGTGGGGCTTGTGAGCCAGGGGAGGGGCCTGTGGCCATGGGGTGGAGCCTGAGGAGTCAGGGTGGGGCCTGGAAGCAATAGGGTCTGGAAGTTGGGGGCCAGAGGGCAGGCAGTGGAGTGGATCTGGAGAGCTGGGGAGGGGCCTGCAGTCGAGAGGTGGGATGGGGAGCAGGGGAAGGGGCTTGGGGTATTGAGACCAAGAGGCACGACAGGGGAGCATCCCGGCCTGCGCGCGAGGAGCCACCTCAGAAGAGGCCGCAGTCTTTGAGGTTCTCCTTGATGATAATGTCGGTGACAGCGTCGAAGACAAACTTGACGTTCTGTGTGTCGGTGGCGCACGTCATGTGGGAATAGATCTCCTTCACGTCGCGTCTCATGTTGAGCTCGAGGAATTGCACCTTGATGTAATTGCCCGCGTCCTCATATGTGTTGGGCCCTGGCGAGGAAGGGGGAGCTCTCACTCCCGGTAGCAAATCCTCCCCGCGGCGGGAGGAGCGCAGGCCGAGATCGTGGGTTTGCGACGCCGCCTGGCGGCGTGCCGAGGTTCTCACCATTGTAGTCCGGAAAGCAGATGCTGAGGTGCGCCTTTTTTATCTTCTCCGAGAAGACGTCCTTCTTGTTGAGGAAGAGCACGATGGACGTGGTGGCGAAGTAGCGGTGGTTGCAGATACTGTTGAATAGGTGCAGGCTCTCGTGCATGCGGTTCTGAGGAGGGCAGAAGCTGTCGGGCACCGGGGACTGCGGCCGCCGCCCCCACCCGGCTGCAGCCGGCGGGCAGACCCCTGCTCTCTGGGCTCCGGGGCCTCCCTGCCCAGACAGCTCCAAGACCGTCTCCCCGTTCGCCCCCCTAAGCAGGGCAGCAGGCTGCCTCATCTCCTCCTTCAGACCGCTCTGGGTCGAATGTCCTCTCTCAGATGCTCCCCGCGCCCGCAGCGCTGTCTCTGCTTTCCGCTCTCCTCCTCCCCGCTCAAACGCTCAGGCCCTGCTGGAGCACTCACCACTTCGTCGTCCTCCACAAGCACCATGTCGTAGGCGCTGAGAGCCGCGATGAAGATGATGCAGGTCACACCCTCGAAGCAGTGGATCCACTTCTTGCGTTCTGAGCGCTGCCCGCCCACATCGAACATCCTGCGGGGCCGTGGGAACCTGAGCCGGCGCATCGAGTCCCCTGGACGTGCCCACAGGCATCCCCTGGTTTCCTAATGCTGGCTGGGAGGCACCCAGATGGGAGTGGCATCTGGAGGGGCCGGGCATTTCTGCGGGCGGGCTGTCCAAGAAGGGGCAGGGTCTCTCGTAGGGATGGGGCCTCTGGGATCAGACAAGGCCTCAGGCAGTGAACTTGCGGGCAGGCCCCCGGAGAGCTAGAGCTAGGGCGCGGGGTCGTACCGGAAGTTGAGGTCCTTGAAGGAGAACTGCGTCTCAATGATACCAGTGGTCTTGACACGCGAGCGCAGCACGTCCTGTTCAGTGGGCACGTAGCCCGGGGTTACCAGGCGCTCCAGGTCCGAGAGGTAGCTGCGGGAGATCCGGGGTGTGGGTAGGGTTGGGTGGAGGGGCGTGGCAGGGCCCCGCCCGCCCCGCGCCCCGCCTGTGCTCTCACTAGCCAGCAGAGTCGTTGAGCTGGTATTCCGAGGCGCGATCGAAACAGGCCTGGATACCCGAGTCCTTCCACAGCCGCTGGATGATGTCTGACATCTCCTTAGGCATCGTGCCCTCCTCGATGGTGTCCGCCATGTGCATCAGCTTCCGGGCATCGTCCTGGGGTGGGGGGCAGGGGAGTGGTTGGTGGTGACCATGGACTTGGGCCCAGCCTCGCACCTCGAGTCTCCAGAAGCCCTGTTCAGCTAGTCTCTTGGCATACCTGGCGCGCAGAGTCTCCATACTGGATATTGAGCGTGGTCATGGCGCGCACGATGGCCAAGATGGACTGTAGCGTGTTGCCATATATGATGGCAATGAACTCGAGGCACTCTTCCAGCGAGTACCCATCCTGGTGGATGATCCTGCAGCCGTGGGGAGCCGGGTCAGCACCTCTTGGGTAGGTGGGGAAGGACAGACCTCGTGCGTGTGCCCACCCCCAGGGGCCTCGGGTAGGGCAGGGGCACTCACTTCATCTGCTTGACAATGGTACTCTTCCCGGACTCACCGGCACCTGGAATGGAAACCCTACCTCAGAGACGCGCTGACCGCACTGCCGCCTCTATCACACCTGTTTTGCCCCCAACCCCCAAAGTCAGGTCATGATGCCCTGGCGGCAAAACATAAACGTCAGGAGTGACAGAAGGGGGCTGACGAGGGGAATCGACAACCTCGACTGTGCTGAGGAGCCTTCAAGACCCTGGTATTTTCAGTTTTATTATTCTGAGGACAAAAATAAAGAAACCTGGAGCTCCGCCTTGTGGAAGATTCTGGTACTGCATGCATGGGATTATTTGAGCCAGGTCAACCCCTGCTTTTAACCTGTGGTGGGAGGAAGTGTCTCCAAGAGGCTCAGAGGGAATTAGCACCTTTTGCTGGGGGAGAGGACAGAGCTAACAGCCCCTCTGAGCCTGTTCTCATGCGGGTGTTGGGCACAGTTAATGGGATTTCTGGCTTAGCCTCTCTCTCTTGCCTGGGGTACTCTGGCTTGGTCCTTCTGCCCACATCTAGCTGTCTGTCTGGACCCTGGAGAGCCTGGGTAGAGTCTGCACTGCCCTCTCAAAGCAGCTCCTTCTTCCCTTGCGGGGAGGAAGTGGCCTTGGGGTACTAGATCAGCCCCATCTCCCTTCACTACCCATGGGACCAAGGACATGGCTTTACCTATTCCCGGCTGGGCCTTAGTACCCCCTACCCCCTTTAACTGTTCTGCAGGTCTGTCAACAATAAAGCTCTGGAAACTGAGGGTCATTGTCTGTGGATCTGGGTGGTCCTAGAGGCTGCCCACTCTCAGGAGGACTGTGACCTTCTCCCTCCCAAGGGAGCAGCCTTGTTGTGGGGCTCCCAAGGAGGCCCCTGGTTTCCGAGCCCTGCCCAGCAGGCCCATCAAGCCAAAGGCTGGTGTTTGAGGGAGCACAGCCAGGGCAAAACTAGGCCTCGTACACACATCTCTACAAAAGTGAGATTGGTACACCCTTCTTGGGAGGGGAGGTTGCCTGAGGCTGGGCCCTCTGAAGAGGGGTTCTGTGGGATACCCAGCCTTAGGGAGCCAAGGCATCACTTGTCAAGGCTTGGCCAGGGCTCCCACTCTGTTTCCTGCCAGGTTGCAGGCTCATTCTGTTTCCCAAGTCACACCTACTTCACAGAAGGGCCACCTGCCTGCCCCTGGGCCTCTGACTAGTAGCAGTGGCCTCGCCGCAGCCCACCCCCTTACCCAGAAGCAGCAGTTTCACGGTTCGAGCATCCTTCTCGGCATCTTCTTTCAGCTTCTTTTCCAGCTCCCTTGAGTGCTTCTCCTCAGCACTGGCCCCAGCCCCCATGGTGCCGGCAGGAGGTGAAGGAACAGGGTGGTCAGTTGGCTCTTCTGGATGCAGGGGATCCCCAGAGCCAGGCTCAGGCCAGCCTCTGGCCTCCCCTTCTGACCTCAGAACTGGCAATCAACTGGCTGTCCACAGACCTGTGAAGGCCCTGTTGGGGCTGCTTAGTAGGATTTGGGGGGTTGTTGGTACCCAAGAGCCAATCAGAGACAAGGACAGGTGAATCCAGCTCAGCCCCCAGCCGCCCTAATCAGGCTGGCATGGCCCCAATCCCTCAACTGCTGACTCTGCACCCCCTGTACGCTGCTCCCCAAACCCTCTGGGAGAGACCCTGGAGGTAGTCCAGCCCTGCTCCAGAGCAGGGAGACATGTTCCATAGGATCCAGGCTCAGAAAGGGGAGGAGAGGGCCTCAAGTTCCAGGGTGGGGGCATTGGGGGGTAGGCCTGGCAGCAGAGAGTAGAGGGAGAAGCATGCAAGGAGCACCCGACCCCTGCCCAGCACAGGGCTTAGCATTGCTCCTTACCTAGCTCACACCAGCCCTGGGGGATGGGTACCCACATCATTTTACTGATGAGGAAGTGGAGGCTCAGAGGGTCGCACAGCAGGACGTAGTTGAGAAGGGCTCGTGACTCTGAACCAGGGCTCCATGCTCAGCAGGGAGTCAAGAGGGAAAGGTGGACATTGCATTTGCCCTGTACCAAGGTCTGCATCTGACCTGGTCAAGGCCTCTACATGCCTCCATGATTCCAATGGACTTGGGTGGGTGTGCAGGTCTGCTACGTGTACTGGGTGTGTGCTTGTATACTTTACTGGCACCAAGCAAGGCAATGACATGACACATTTGTCTATGTATACTTGTGTGTTTATGTATGCATTTTTATGCCTTTGTGAATGCATGTGTGTGTCTATGTTTGCCTGTTTGTGTACCGTGTGTGCATGTGCATGGATGTGCTTTTGTGCATTTCTCTTCATGTGCAGATGTGTTTGTATGTGTACTTTATTATGCTAAACTGGGTTAATGTGTGTGTGTGTGTGTATGAATGTATAAGTGCATGTATATGTGCATGTGTGTGCACTTGCCTGTGTACATGTACATTTATGCATGTGTCTGCCTGTATGTGTGCACACACCTGTGTCTACATGTACCCATGGTGCAACACTCTGACCTGCGGAGGTGGCCAGGCTCTTCCAGGGAATGTTTTGCAGGCCTGTTATCAGATGGGAAAACTGAGCCCTGAAGCAGGTCTGGTGTTCCCAGGGGAGGAGCAGATGAGCCTCACTCTTCTTCTGTCCCCTGTCGGTAATCTGGGACCTGCCTAGGGGTATCTCCAGGGCACACCTGCCTCAGTTTAGGGGTCAGAGGTCTCTGTGGGGGTTTAGATGGGACAGGACGTGCTGCTGAGTGGAAGTGGTTCAACCGAGCATGTAATGTTGAGCTCCAGCCTCTGGAGATTTACCACGTCCCATCAGAAGACCCAAATCCTGGGCTCTCAAGGCCCCCTCCTGGCTGAACTACCCGGAAACCTGGCTGTCTTAGGACTCAACTCTTGCGGACCTGGGGTGCCAGGGCCCCAGATACTGAGCATTGAAGACTGTCCCTAGTGTTGGGAAAGCTGGACAGGTGCATGTAAATCAATGAAGTTAGAACACACCCTTACACTATACACAAAAATAAACTCAAAATGGCTTAAAGACTTAAACATAACACCATAAAACTCCTAGAATAGAACATAGGCAAAACATTCTGACATAAATTGTACCAATATTTTCTCAGGTCAGTCTCCCAAAGGAATAGAAATAAAAGGAAAAATGAACAAAGGTGACCTAATCAAACTTAAAAGCTTTTGCACAGCAGAAGAAGAACTACAATTCTGTAGCCTGTGGAAGGAAAACTACATTCACAGAAAGATAGACAAAATGAAAAGGCAGAGGACTTTGTACCAGATGAAGGAACAAGATAAAAGCCCAGAAAAACAACTAAATGAAGTGGAGATAGGCAACCTTCCAGAAAAAGAATTCAGAATAATGATAGTGAAGATGATCCAGGACCTCGAAAAAAGAATGGAGGCAAAGATCGAGAAGATGCAAGAAATGTTTAACAAAGACCTAGAAGAATTAAAGAACAAACAACTAGAAGAATTAAAGAACAAACAAACAGAGATGAACAATACAATAACTGAAATGAAAAATATACTAGAAGGAATCAATAGCAGAATAACTGAGGCAGAAGAATGGATAAGTGACCTGGAAGACAGAATGGTGGAATTCACTGCTGCAGAACAGAATAAAGAAAAAAGAATGAAAAGAAACGAAGACAGCCTAAGAGACCTCTGGGACAACATTAAATGCAATAACATTCGCATTACAGGGGTCCCAGAAGGAGAAGAGAGAGAGAAAGGACCCAAGAAAATATTTGAAGAGATTATACTCGAAAACTTCCCTAACATGGGAAAGGAAAGAGCCACCCAAGTCCAGGAAGTGCAGAGAGTCCCAGGCAGGATAAACCCAAGGAGAAACACGGCGAAACACATAGTAATCAAATTGATAAAAATTAAAGACAAAGAAAAATTATTGAAAGCAGCAAGGGAAAAACAACAAATAACATACAAGGGAACTCCCATAAGGTTAACAGCTGATTTCTCAGCAGAAACTCTACAAGCCAGGAGGGAGTGGCACGATATATTTAAAGTGATGAAAGGGAAGAACCTACAACCAAGATTACTCTACTTGGCAAGGATCTCATTCAGATTCGACAGAGAAATCAAAAGATTTATAGACAAAAAAAAAAAAAAAAAAGATTTACAGACAAGGAAAAGCTAAGAGAATTCAGCACCACCAAACCAGCTCTACAATAAATGCTAAAGGAACTTCTCTAAGTGGGAAACACAAGAGAAGAAAAGGACCTACAAAAACAAACCCATAACAAGTAAGAAAATGGTAATAGGAACATACATATCAATAATTACCTTAAACGTGAATGGATTAAATGCTCCAACCAAGAGATATAGGCTCACTGAATGGACACAAAAACAAGACCCATATATATGCTGTCTACAAGAGACCCACTTCACACCTAGGGACACACACAGACTGAAAGTGAGGGGATGGAAAAAGATATTCCATGCAAATGGAAATCAAAAGAAAGCTGGAGTAGCAATACGCATATCAGATAAAAGAGACTTTAAAATAAAGAATGTTACAAGAGACAAAGAAGGACACTACATAATGATCAAGGGATCAATCCAAGAAGATATAATAATTATAAATATACATGCACCCAACATAGGAGCACCTCAATACATAAGGCAACTGCTAACAGCTATAAAAGAGGAAATCGACAGTAACACAATAATAGTGGGAGACTTTAACACCTCACTTACACCAATGGACAGATCATCCAGACAGAAAATTAATAAGGAACCACAAGCTTTAAATGACACAATAGACCAGATAGATTTAATTGATATTCATAGGACATTCCATCCCAAAACAGCAGATTACTTTCTTCTCAAGTGCACACAGAACATTCTCCAGGATAGACCACATCTTGGGCCACAAATCAAGCCTCAGTAAATTTAAGAAAACTGAAATCATATCAAGCATCTTTTCCAGCCACAATGCTATGAGATTAGAAATCAACTACAGGGAAAAAAAAAAACATAAAAAACACAAACACATGGAGGCTAAACAATAGGTTACTAAATAACCAAGAGATCACTGAAGAAATCAAAGAGGAAATCAAAAGATACCTAGAGACAAATGACAATGAAAACATGACGATCCAAAACCTATGGGATGCAGAAAAAGCAGTTCTAAGGGGAAGTTTATAGCAGTACAAGCCTACCTCAAGAAACAAGAAAAATCTCAAATAAACAATCTAACCTTACACCTAAAGGAACTAGAGAAAGAACAAACAAAACCCAAAGTTAGTAGAAGGAAAGAAATCATAAAGATCAGAGCAGAAATAAATGAAATAGAAACAAAGAGGGACTTCTCTGGTGGCGCAGTGGTTAAGAATCTGCCTGCCAACGCAGGGGACATGGGTTCGAGCCCTGGACTGGGATGATCTCACATGCTGCGGAGCAACTGGGCCCGTGCGCCACAGCTGCTGAGCCTGTGCTCTGGAGCTCCTGAGCCACAAATGCTGAGCCCGCATGCCACAACTGCTGAAGCCCACGTGCCTGGAGCCCGTATTCTGCAACAAAGAGAGGCCACCGCAATGAGAAGTCCACACACCACAACAAAAAAAGAGTGGACACCGCTCACCGCAGCTAGAGAAAGCCCACGCACAGCAACAAAGACCCAAAGTAGCCAAAAGTAAATAAATAAATTTTTTAAAAAAAGAAACAAAGAAAACGATAGCAAAGATCAATAAAACTAAAAGCTGGTTCTTTGAGAAGATAAACAAAATTGATAAACCTTTAGCCAGACTCATCAAGAAAAAGAGGGAGAGGACTCAAATCAATAAAATTAGGAATGAAAAAGGAGAAGTTACAACAGACACCGCAGAAATACAAAGCATCCTAAGAGACTACTACAAGCAACTCTATGCCAATAAAATGAACAACCTGGAAGAAATGGACGAATTCTTAGAAAGGTATAACCTTCCAAGACTGAACCAGGAAGAAATAGAAAATATGAACAGACCAGTCACAAGTAATGAAATTGAAACTGCGATTAAAAATCTTCCAGCAAACAAAAGTCCAGGACCAGATGGCTTCACAGGTGAAGCCTTCACAGCTCATTTAGATAAGAGCTAACACCCATCCTTCTCAAACTCTTCCAAAAAATTTCAGAGGAAGGAACACTCCCAAACTCATTCTATGAGGCCACCATCACCCTGATACCAAAACCAGACAAAGGTACTACCAGACAAAGATACTACAAAAAAACAAAATTACAGACCAATATCACTGATGAATATAGATGCAAAACTCCTCAACAAAATACTAGCAAACAGAATCCAGCCACACATTAAAAGGATCATACACCATGATCAAGTGGGATTTATCCCAGGGATGCAAGGATTCTTCAATATACACAAATCAATCAATGTGATACACCATATTAACAAACTGAAGGAGAAAAACCATATGATCATCTCAATAGATGCAGAAAAAGCTTTTGACAAAATTCAACACCCATTTATGATAAAAACTCTCCAGAAAGTGGGCATAGAGGGAACCTACCTCAACATAATAAAGGCCATATACGACAAACCCACAGCAAACATCATTCTCAATGGTGAAAAACTGAAAGCATTTCCTCTAAGATCAGGAACAAGACAAGGATATCAACTCTCACCACTATTATTCAACATAGCTTTGGAAGTCCTAGCCATGGCAATCAGAGAAGAAAAAGAAACAAGAGGAATACAAATTGGAAAAGAAGAAGTAAAACTGTCACTGTTTGCAGGTGACATGATACTATACATAGAGAATCCTAAAGATGTCACCAGAAAACTACTAGAGCTAATCAATGAATTTGGTAAAGTTGCAGGATACAAAATTAATGCATTCCTATACACTATACTCTTGCATTCCTATACACTAATGATGAAAAATCTGAAAGAAATTAAGGAAACAATCCTATTCACCATTGCAACAAAAAGAATAAAATACCTAGGAATAAACCTACCTAAGGAGGTAAAAGACCTGTACTCAGAAAACTATAAGACACTGATGAAAGAAATCAAAGATGACACAAACAGATGGGGAGATATACCATGTTCTTGGATTGGAAGAATCAATATTGTGAAAATGACTATACTACCCAAAGCAATCTACAGATTCAATGCAATCCCTATCAAATTACCAGTGGCATTCTTTACAGAACTAGAACAAAAAAATCTTAAAATTTATATGGAGACACAAAAGACCCCGAATAGCCAAAGCAGTCTTGAGGGAAAAAAACGGAGCTGGAGGAATCAGACTCCCTGACTTCAGACTATACTACAAAGCTACAGTAATCAAGACAATATGGTACTGGCACAAAAACAGAAGTATAGATCAATGGAACAGGATAGAAAGCCCAGAAATAAACCCACGCACCTATGGTCAACTAATCTATGACAAAGGAGGCAAGGATATACAATGGAGAAAAGACAGTCTCTTCAATAAGCGGTGCTGGGAAAACTGGACAGCTACATGTAAAAGAATGAAATTAGAACACTCCCTAACACCCTACACAAAAATAAACTCAAAATGGATTAGAAACCTAAATGTAAGACCAGACACTATAAAACTCTTAGAGGAAAACATAGGAAGAACACTCTTTGACATAAATCACAGCAAGATCTTTTTTTGATCCACCTCCTACAGTAATGGAAATACAAACAAAAATAAACAAATGGGACCTAATGAAACCTAAAAGCTCTTGCACAGCAAAGGAAACTACAAACAAGATGAAAAGACAACCCTCAGAATGGGAGAAAATATTTGCAAATGAATCACGGACAAAGGATTAATCTTCAAAATATATAAACAGCTCACACAGCTCAATATTAAAAAAACAAACAACCCAATCAAAATATGGGCAGAAGACCTAAATAGACATTTCTCCAAAGAAGACATACAGATGGCCAAGAAGCACATGAAAAGCTGCTCAACATCACTAATTATTAGGGAAATGCAAATCAAAACTACAACGAGGTATCACCTCACACCAGTCAGAATGGGTATCATCAGAAAATCTACAAACAACAAATGCTGGAGAGGGTGTGGAGAAAAGGGAACCGTCTTGCACTGTTGGTGGGGATGTAAATTGATACAGCCACTATGGAGAACAGTATGGAGGTTACTTAAAAAACTAAAAATAAAACTACCATATGATCCAGCAATCCGACTACTGGGCATATACCCAGAGAAAACCATAATTCGGAAAGACACATGCACCCCAATGTTCATTGCAGCACTATTTATAATAGCCAGGTCATGGAAGCAACCTAAATGCCCATCGACAGACAAATGGATAAAGAAGATGTGGTACATACATACAATGGAATATTACTCAGCCATAAAAATGAACGAAATTGGGTCATTTGTAGAGACATGGATGGATCTAGAGACTGTCATACAGAGTGAAGTAAGTCAGAAAGAGAAAAATATCGTATATTAACGCATATATGTGGAACCTAGAAAAATGGTACAGGTGAACTGGTATGCAGGGCAGAAATAGAGACAAGATGTAGAGAACAAACGTATGGACACCAAGGGGGAAAGTGGCTGCGGGTGGTGGGATGAATTGGGAGATTGGGATTGATATGTATACACTAATATGTATAAAATAGATAACTAATAAGAACGTGCTGTATAAAAAAATAAATAAAATTAAAATTAAAAAATAAAAGCTTTTGCACAACAAAGGAAACCATAAACAAAACAAAAAGACAACCTACAGAATGGGAGAAGATATTTGCAAACGATGAGACCAGCAAGGGCTTAACTTCCAAAATATACAAACAGCTCATGCAGTTCAACAACAACAACAAAAAAAACAGTAATCCAGTTGAAAAATGGGCAGAGGAACTAAATAGACATTTCTTCAGATAAGACATACCGATGGCCAACAGGCACATGAAAAGATGCTTAACGTTGCTAATTATTAGAGAAATGAAAATCAAAACTGCAATGAGGTACCACCTCACATTGGTCAAATGGCCATCACTAAGAAGTCCTCAAATAACAAATGCTGGAGAGGGTGTGGAGAAAAGGGAACCCTCCTACACTGTTGGGGGGAATGTAAGTCGGTGCAGCCACTATGGAAAACAGTATGGAGGTTCCTCAAGAAACTGAAAATAGAGTTGCCATATGATCCAGCAATCCCATTCCTGGGCATATATCCGGACAAAACTATAATTCAAAAAGATACATGCGCCCCTATGTTCATAGCAGCACTATTCACAATAGCCAAGACATGGAAATAACCTAAATGTCCATCAACAGATGAATGGATAAAGATGGGGTACATATATACACTGGAATACTACTCAGCCATTAAAAAGGAACAAAATGATGCCATTTGCAGCAACATGGATGGAACTAGAGATTATAATACTAAGTCAGAAAGAGACATATTCCACTTATATGTGGAATCTAAAATACAACACAAATGAACTTTCATGAAACAGAAACAGACTCACAGACACAGAACAGACTTGTGGTTGCCAAGAGGGAGTGGAGCGGGAAAGGGATGGAGTGAGAGGTTGGGGTTAGCAGATGCAAACTATTATATACAGAATGGATAAACAACAAGGTCCTACTGTATAGCACAGGGAAATATATTCAATATTCTGTGATAAACCATAATGGAAACGAATATTAAAAAAAAGAATGTATATATTTGTATAACTGAATTACTTTGCTCTTCAGCAGAAATGAACACATTGTAAATCAACTATACTTCAATAAAAAAATTCACACACACACACACACACACACACACACACACACAAAGGCTGTCCCTAAACGTGTGGGAAGTGGATACTGGCTCTGTAAGCTGGTGGCTTCAACATCTACCCTGTTGGGTGAGGGGAGATCTGTCCAGGAGCAACAGATCATTCATTCGTGCCACTTTCAACCTTTAGGCCCCATTCGTCCTCTACCCCACCACCATGCTGTAAGTGGGCCCTGGGAGTCTCTGCAGCCCCTACGTACTGCCCAGGGGGCTGGGGTGGTGCAGGAGCCCAGGTTTGCTAAACCAACAAGAACCTTTCTACATATTGGGTCTACTTAAAGTGGGACCATTCCACTGCCTCCCCGTCGCCACCTGGCTCCCCTTGCCTGCCAGGTATGGCCCTAAGCCCTGCTGGATCCGTGTGCCTCCATAGCTATTGGCTTCCCCTGCCAGAGCTTGACTCGTTAAATTTGGCCTGGGGCCCCCAGCCTCACTTCCTCCTCTCCAGCAGCTCCCCACATATCCTGGTCTTCCCCGCCTCTGGACATTTGCTTGCGCTGGACCCTCTGCTGAGATCTGGCTGGAAGGATGCAGAAGAATGGGAATTTTGTTGATTCCCAGGGCAGGGGCAGCTGAACTGTAAGGGCTGTGGATTTGTCTTGCCAATTCTGAGTCCTGAGTTCCTGGCAAGACACAAAGCCAGGTGAGAAAGCAACGTGAACGAATGATCAAACAACTGAGTAAATGAATGGACGCTGGGCTTGCAAAAGAGACCGTGGGGGAACTGGTGGTCAAGCCACATTGGTGGGGGCGTGGGGCAGGAGGGACAGAATCTGGGTGTGGGCTGAACCCCCGTCCTCCCTCCTTTGCCAAGGAGAAAGCCAAAGTCCAGTCCCAGAGCCAGTGTTTATTAGCAAGATGGACCCCAAGGGCAGGTGTGGCCTGGACAGCCGAGGGCTGCCAGGAGCCCCCATCCACCTACCCAACTGCCCCCCAGAGCTATTTACACCCATCATCTGAAGTGGTGGGCAGAAGGGAGCCCTGGGGAGCCCCTGCAGGCCCCAGGCCTCCACCATGACCCCCTCTCCCCTCAGCGCTGCCTGAGCCTGGCCCCTCTGCTTTTCTCCCAGCCCCTGCATCACAGCGGCATGCAGAAAGCAAAGAGGAGGTAGAGTGGCCAGGCAGGGAGGGAAGGAGGGGCTGGAGGGGCTGCCCCACCCAGGCAGGGCTCCTCTTCTCCTGTCCCCAATAAATAGAGAATAAATACCCAGGAAAGGGCTGGCCTTGACTGAGTGCCCCTCTCCCAGGCAGGGGCCGGCATCCCGTGCCAGCCCCTTCTTCCCTTCTCTGAGCGCATCTGAGCTCTCACTCCCACCCCCGGTCTCCAAGCAGTCCTCGCATCCACATGTATGCCACCAGCAAACATGGGCGAAGGTGTACAGTCCGTGCCCCATCCAGGTAGAGCTTGCTCCTTCCCTGTGTCCTGTAGATCCTGGCGGTGGCTGTCGAGCAGGTAGACTCCCAGCTGAGCCTGGGGACTGTGTGGTCCTGGCCTGGCTCGGCCAACTGGCCGGGCCTGGTTAGGTGGGCTCCGTTTTCTGCCGTCTCTGACCAGCATGGGTCTAAGTTTTGGATGATGCTGCCGCTGAGGCAGGCTATTTACAACCCACCAATAAATACTGTCTTTGCAGGGGCAGGGTGTATATAGAATATAGATATTTTATATATATATATATTTATCTTTTATATTAAAAGGGACGAGGACTAGGCCGGCCCATCGCAGGGCTCGGACAGCAGGCCTCATGTGTCCGGCGGGTGGTGGCGGCGGTTCCGGGGTTTTTTCTGGTCCTGGGGTTCAGGAGGCCTGGGTGCCCCTGGGGCCTCCCTGGGACTGGGGGGCACATGGCGCCAGTAACCCTGGCAGTACTGGTGGATGAGGCCCACTTCTGGCTGGGCCAGGAGCTGCGCCAGCTCCTGGTAAGGGGGTGTGGGGGGCCCGGCGCCTGGGGGCGGTGGGACGCTCACAGCTGGGGGTGGGAAGAGGGCAGCATGGACGGCGTCCTGGCCCAGTACATGCAGCTGCACTCGTGTGATGACATGCTTGAAGTTGTTCTCGGTGGCTGTACAGGAGTAGAGGCCGCGATCACCAAGCTGCAGGGCGCGAAGCAGCAAGCCCTGTTCCGTGCGCAGGAAGCGGTCGTCTGCACGCATCTGTGGGGGCAGGGGCTGGGGCTCAGGGGCTGCAGGACCACCCTGTTGCCCCGGCCAGCTCCCCGATCAGACCACCTCTGGGGCCACCCCATGCAGGGGCACCCGTGTGGAATTTCCATATACCAAGAAAAACAAGTTTCCATATAACATCTGAATAATAAACACTTCCATTTCAGGAGAAATGACCATAAGGGGATTCTGTACAATGAGAGAATTCTGGAGCACACACACAATTTCTATTTAATGAGAATAAACAGATGTTGGGGCACCCTCAGAGAATTTCCATGTAGAAGGGATTGCCTAGAAGGTATTTCCACAATAGGAAGGCTACCCCACAGAATTTCCATATGCTGGAACTCATCCACGTGACATTTCCATAGAATGAGGTATACTGCCAATAAAGTACACATATGGAATTCTCATATAAAAAGGCATGCCTGGGGGCTTCCCTGGTGGCGCAGTGGTTGAGAGTCCGCCTGCTGATGCAGGGGACATGGGTTCGTGCCCCGGTCCGGGAAGATCCCACATGCTGCGGAGCGGCTGGGCCCGTGAGCCATGGCCGCTGAGCCTGCACGTCCAGAGCCTGTGCTCCACAACTGGAGAGGCCACAACAGTGAGAGGCCCGCGTACCGCAAAAAAAAAAAAAAAAAAAAAAGGCATGCCTACAAGTAGTTTCCACGTAATATGGACACCCCACAGAGTTTCCATAAAACTGGATTCACCCAAATGATCTCCACGTAGGGAAGGGAGCTTGGAAGGACTTTCTTAGAATGAGGGCTGCCCCAGTTTGGCTCCTATACCACATTTCACCCACGTAGAATTTCGACTGTACAAGGGACTCTCCCAACCATGGTGAGGACTGTGGGGCACAGGAAATCACCTCTCGGCGCCGGTCACTCGGATCTCGCTGGAACAGCCACTTAACGGTAGCCTGGGGCGAGCGGGGCTGGCACTCAAGGAAGGCTGCGCTCCCTGCCACGCCATACTGCACAGATTCCACGGCATTCTTATTGGCTGTAGAACAAGAGGGTGCCACGTGAAAGCAGCACTACCTCTTGGCAGACTGCAGGCTGGCGAGGGGCATATACAGGGATACCCACCCATACAGGCAGGGCTGTGCCATCAGGCATCCACTCCTTGAGGGGGTGGCCGAGGACATCCCTTCTCCAAAACCCCTCACCCCCTCACCCCCACGGACCATGTGAGAATCCTTCCAGTGGGGGCCCCATGAGCAGCTCTGTAGGCTGCACAGCTCCACACCGAGAAGCACCCAGTGGTGAGACATAGAGCACTCACCATTGGAATTGAACCCACGGCACTGCCTGATGGGGTTCCCGTGCCGGACGTCCTGCCGGCGGCTCCGCCTGGAGGAAGATAGCTCCTGAAGGAGTATTCCCAAGAAAACTTGCCCCCCAAGTCTCTATAGCCCCAAAACTCCAGGGTAGGATGTCTCACCCATAAAGTCCCCCAGGGTAATATCACATCCACCTCTAGACCTCCAGGACAGAGCCCTGGGTCTGGTGGCCAAAATTCCAAGGGTCTCGGGGTTCACACCTCTTAGAGGACGCTGTGTAGCGGGAACAGGCTTGGCCATCCCAGGCACAGTAGGGGTCCCGGGCAAGGCAGCAGTCGGCACAGGCGGCCCCATATGCCTGGCAGCGGTGCAGGCTCAGGTGTGTGACGCCCACGGCTGAGGCCACGTACAGTTGTTGCTGTGGGCAGGGGTAGGAGCTTGTCAGTTCCCTCCCCATAGCCAACCTTCCTTAGGAGCCAGTTGGGCCAGGCTCCTCCCCTTCTTGTTCGGTGCCTCAGTGTCCCCATCTCTTTGCCAAGGGCTTGACCCCAAAGTGAAGCAGCCTCCATCCCTACCCTCAGCCCACCTTGCCAGAACTCACCCTCTTGGAAGAGATGGTCATGGTCTTAACAGATGCTGGGTCCTAGGAGAAGAGAGGGATTAGCTTATGACCCTGGGGACCCCCTTCCTGTCCTGACCTGGAGGTCTGAGGTCAGGAGGTGGCACTGAGGAGAGCCATGGTGAGGAGGACAGGACTGGGTGGTGTCACACCCACCTTGAAGACCTCCACCTCCTCTAGCATGAGCTCCTCCATCTCCTGGTCATCCTTAGGCAGCACAATGACCTTCTGCACTGTCCCGCGGTCTGGAACGGGCCGGGCAGGGCCTCAGTGGGGCTGAGGACGCTGGGAAAGGGGCACCAGCCTCAGCCCCTTCCCCCACCAGGGCCCAAACCCCCCAAGGGCAGTGGAGTGGGAGAGCTCTGTGCCAAGGTTGAAGAGTTGCCCCCAGATGACGGGAAGAGGTCTAAGGAGACTGGCCCTGGATAAGGGGGAGTCACAGCTAGAGTCTGCTCCTCTGACCCCAGACCCTCATTTTGGGAAGCTGCGAACAGGCTGCAGGAAGTGTTCCCTTATGTTGAGGGCTACTGGAACAGCGGTGGGTGCAGTTTGCATGTGCACACGAGAGCATGTGTGTCAGTATTTGGACCCAGGTATCCTGGAGGTGTCTGGCTCTGTTCTCCCTCTTTCCGCCCAAACATGGGTCCCCAGGCACCCAGTGTCCCTGCTCTCCCGGCCACCAGGGATAGGGATGAAAATGGGGTTTCGCCATCCCCATTCTCAGTTATCCTGGTAATAGAGAGAAGCCTCCAAAGGATGAAGGTGGCAGAGCTGACATTGACAACCCTGTAGTAACCCCCTAGCAGGGCAGGGCCCAGCCCTATGGATCAGTACCCTCCACCCAGTGGGCCCAGTGTGGGAGGGGCCGGGAGCAGCAGTGGGTACCTGTGCCCAGGAAAAGCACCTCATAGCGCCCGTCGGCTGCATCCACCTGGTCCACGGCAACAGTGGTGAGACGGTAAGGAGAGCCTGTGCGGACCACCAGGGGCCGCCGCTGCAGAGGGTAAACGGCCTGGTACATGAGTGGGTGGGTGCGCATGAAGTTGATCACTTCATCAGGATAGTCCTTGGTGGATTTCATGGATGGCGTGAAGGTTCCACCAGGGCACTGCAGGCAGGTGATGAGTGTCAGGCCCAGGCTGCCCAGGGCACCCTGGACCCATTAGCTTCAGAAGAGGTCTCCGCTCTCTCTGTCCCCACCAGCTCCACCTGCTCTGCTTCTCAGAACACCCATCTGGGCTTTTGCCCAATACCCAACCTCTCTGCAGGTCCTGCACCAGCTGAGGACCCAAGGTCTCACATGGTCAAATCCCATGGCCATCTCCCCAGCTTCATGTGCCATGACTTTGTGGCAGCGTTTGGCAGAGCTGACAATGGCCTTTCTAGGTCCTCATCCCCACCCGCTCGTCTCCTTCCTCTGACTGTTCTTCCAGTGCACCACTTCCCCAGCTCCACCCCTGCTCAGCAGGACTGCAGGCACACCCTAGGCATGTGATCAGATCACGAAGCTCTCCTGCTTAGACTCCCGCAGTGGTCCATGTCACACCAAGATCAGGTGAAGCGCCTCCCACTACTGCAGGGGCTCCTGCTCACCCCCACCTCCAGCCTGCCTTGAAGACTTCCCTACAACTTTCAGCTTCCAAACAGCCTCCCAGAGGGAGCAGCCTGCCACACCCAGCCACCATCTTTGTTTCAGGATCCTAGCTGGATTCTTTCACAGCCCGACACTGTGTGTAAACGGTGGAGTCTTCCTTACGGTGTGTTTTGTTTTAACTTCAGCTTTATTGAGGATGAATGGTGAGTTTATATGTGTGTATGGTCCACCTCCACCCCCGCCCCCGTCAACTTGGCTGTGAGTGCCACGATGGTGCGGCCCATGTCTGCAAAGGGCCTGACCCAGCACAGTTCTCGTGGAAAGAGAGGAAAGGGAAAGGTGGAGTGAGTGGGGTCCTCACCGTGCCGGGCCGTGGGTAGGGCATCTTCCCTGAGAAGGGCATCCATTGGTAGTTGGGGCCCTCCTTGTGGGCAAAGGGCCCATTGAAGACCATGCGAATGTCAGCCATGGAGTAGACACACACGGCAGAGCCTCGGAACACAGAGCTGCGGGCAAGGCAGGCTGCTGCTGCGGGTGGGGCAGACCCTTGGCCCAGGGTCCTCCCCAGCCTGCCCTCACCCACAGCTCCCCACCAGGATGGGGTCCTCCACAAATCACAGCCCCCTACTCAGCCACACCCTGCCACTGCCGGCCCCAGCCCCAGTCTCACCCCGAGGAGGTAAAGACAGCGTAAATGACTGGGTTCCTCACATCCTGGGTCTGCTGGACAAACACATCCTCTGGGGACAGAAGGAGAGGGAGCTGGGAGGGTACCTTGGCCACGAGCCCCAAGGCCCTGCCCACTCCTGGGTGGGGGGCACCAGGCTTCCCCTGACCACCCATCCGGCCGCCATCCCCTGCAGTAGCCATAGGCCCCCGCCCGCCTGCCGGGTGCTCACGGAGCTCGTCAAAGTGGGTCTCGATGCCATCCTCGCCTGGCACAGAGCAGACCAGCCTTGCCTTCAGGAATGTGCTCCACTTGTTGACCAGGCAGCAGTGGCCGCCGTCATCATTCTGGGGGGCAGGGGGCAGGGGCTGGGTCAGATCAGCTCACTCACCTCAAAGACCCTGCCAGAGCAGGGCTGATGGAACCAGGACTGGGCCTGGGGAGGGGGCAGCAAGGGGCCTCATACCAGGCAGATCCGCCCGATGCGGGCATACACGGCGGGGCTCTGTGGTGCCTCCGCAGACCGCTCACGGAAGAAGAAGTAGAGCTTGTCGTCGTTGCGCTCGGCGCTGTCAGGGATGAGCTCAGCGTGGATGAAAGAAGGGTCTGCAGGTGTGCAGGCGTCAGTGAACCGCACCCTCCTTGGACAAAGCCTCTTTCCCGGGCCAGGTACAAGAAGACCCCCGAGTCTTCCCGGGATAAGAAACTACCCCTGCTCCAGCCAGTCAAGGGCCAAAAATTCTCCCATGAGTGTTTCTTTATGATCTCTGTGCCGCACCCCAGACATGCTGCCCACTGGAGGTGTTGTGGGCTCTGCTCACCATTGAGCCACCGGGAGTTGTACTGATCCGTGCGCATGGCCGTCTGCTTTCCAAGCGTGCGGAAGATGGCCGCGTCGGTGCCCATGAAGTCGATGTACACACCTGCATAGAGCTCCTCGTCTGTGGGTGGGCCAGTGGGTCAGTCATGGGGACGCCCTTGGCTAAGGCCGGTGCACAGCACACATGACCTCCAGGGCAGGGTCCCATCTCCCCCTCAGGTTCTCCAGGGCGATTGTATCAGTGGGGCGTTGGTGAATGTTTTAACAACTGGCTCTGGGAGGACTGGGATTAGCAGCAGTTGGCTCTGATTAGCAGCCAGAGCCAATTTCTGTGGTGTAAATACTCCCACCATGGCTGATCTCAAGCTGCTAACCTGAGGTCACTCACTGAAAGTAGAGTTGGGAAGACCTGCCAAAACCATTGTCTAGTGTTTCCACCCCGTAGATACGAGAAATGTAAATAATCTCAAGAACACAGATAATAATCAAATATAGTGAAATAATTAGCAAGTAGTGAGTTTTGAGTATTTTTACCTTTGTTTTTAAAGTAATTTATTTAACTGTAAGTGTATATAATTTACTTTCTAACAATAGCTGTGTTTAGTAGCTGGCTCACAGAATACCTGAAAATTTGAACAGAAAATTTGACAAACACACTGGCTCCAGCACACCACTCCAAGTCTTCCCTCTAGACTCGCCCAGGGTAGGCCCTGTCTTCCCCCAACGGACTCCCTGGTCTGGACCCTGCCATCCAGCTAGGACCTTCTTACTCACCAAGAGGGAGAGGATAATGCCCACCCTCTGCCTTTCCCAGGCTTGGAGGTGGCACACTGCCCAGCAGCTGCTGAGAGGCAGACTCAGTTGGGCAGTCAGAAAGCAGGCAGACTGCAGGGACCTGGGTCAGCAGTGGCCTCACCCAACCTGGGGGTAGGGGCAGCAGCTGCTTCTGAGGCCCCAGGCAGGACTCCTCCCCAGAGAACATTCTCCCAACTCTCCCAGACACTTGGCCAGACCAGAAACAAACTCCCCAAGCTGGTCTCTGGGCCAGGACTCTCCATTGGTGCTGCCTTGTGGGCCTCTCCCAGCCTGCCAGACAATCCGAGAACACGCTATGGGACCACCGCCTCATACCACCCTCAGTACAGACTCCGCTTGTCTTCTCTTCCAGGAAGCCTGTGGCCAGGAGGGTTCTGGCCTTTGCATGGACCACACTGTGGATTTCAGGGTAGAATCTGCCCCCTGCGCCCACCACACCCCCATTCGAGGGGATGGATGGAGGCTCATACCACCTAGTCTCTGCCCCTCTGCGCACACTGGGGTCTGGTCTGTACCCTTCCCCTTGCCAAGTGGGACCACATTGCGGGGGTGATGGGGGGGGCAGGTTTCAGACACAGCAATTTCATGGTCTCTTCCCTGGGGTAAAGTGTTGGTGCCATGCTCCCTGCTCCAGAGGCAGAGGTCACACCTTTAGGCTTTAGAACCAGGGTGGGGTGGGAGCACTCACTGATGAGGGCTGAGGCTGTGTCCAGCTTGGGGTCATAGGGACACTTGCCCTTTCCTGACTCGAGTTTCTCAGGCTCCAGGTAGAAGATGTAATCCTGCAAGGCAGAGAGGGGCCCGGCATCATCCAAGCCATCCCGCACACGAAAGGCAAGGGTCATCAGGCTCCCAGGGTGAGAGCAAGCCCCCAGGGAAACCCTGAAGCCACCCTGCTTCACTCCCCAGATCTCATTGGGTTTTAACTCTATCTTGCCAGGTCTCCCAGGGCAGGGCGGTGCTGAGGGTTCCCAGGGAGGTGCTTCCTGGTCTAGATCTCAGATAAGACCTGGGAATCATGTCTTGGAGGACTCTGCTTCGGGGACCATGAGAGGGGCATCAAGTGGGCTTACAGGGGCTGAAGCCCCTCCATGCCAACTCGTTCAGGAAGATTCTGGCCAGGGCCCCCTTGGGCCACAGAGGTACAACTCTTTGAGCTGTGGCTGCCTGTCTTGGGCCATGAAGGGCAGGGTTACTGGCCAAAGGCCTGGGATCCTGTCCTTTGCCATCAGGTCCCACCAGGCCAGAGGGCTCTGAGGTTATCGTGTCGCCGGGTTTTGTGCCCTACCTGTGGTCCTCAGGATAGACTAATAGGCCAGGGCCTTTTCCCTGCCCCTCAGCAGAGCCCCCAGCTCCACATGTCTCCACAGGGAGCCAAGAGCTGAGGGGTCCAGCCCAGACCACATGGAATTCACAAAGCCCCCCCACCCCATGCCTCCCAACCCATCCCTGAAGATGCTAGGAGGAAGGCTGGTGAAGGCACTGGGCAGGACGAGCTCATGAGAAGGTTAAGGGAGGAAGAGGAGAGAGGCACAGAGGCAGGAAGGAGGTGGCAACAGGTGGCAGGGATGGTGATGGGAAGGTGTACACAGGCCTGCTTCCAGTTACACTCTGCACACATGACTTCCTGCACACATGGGGCTGCACACACAGCTCGGCACGCATCACTGCCAACACACGGAACCCACTGTTCACACCCTGGGCACACACACGCAGAGTCTGAGCGGCCCCACTTCTCAGCACTCCCTGCCACAGACACGCGAGCTCAAGTGACCACTTGCTCTATCACTCACCGGCAGCCCCTGCCCCCCTGCCCGCCCCTGCCCAGCCCCAGCGCCCCCCAGCCCCGGCCCAGTCCCTCAGCCCTGTCCTGGGTCAAGTCTAGTAGACACACAGCTCTGCCCCTCCCACCCCAGGGGTTAACCCGTGCCCCAAGTGAGGCATGGGGCATGGACACCTAAGAGCTATGTGTCAGGCTGCACACATGTGCCATTTTCCCACGCTGGGTGCTAAGTAAGTTGTGGGTAGGAGAGTGCCCAACGCGTGCCCACGCATGTCTACACACGTGTTCTGAGGGCGGAGGCATGGCTGTCCCCAGGGCTCCTGTCTTTCCCACCTGATGGCTTCATGATTTCTTGTCACACTGAGGCTGACATGAGTCCAACTGGGAATGCCTTCAGAGGCTGAGGGCACTGCAGGGGAAGGAGTGGGAGGGGGGCACAGAGGTGGACGGAAGACCCGGGGGAGGCTGGCCTGGGGTGCAGGCTCCTGGCTGGAAGGCCAGGCCCAGGATGAGTTCGGTTCAGAGGCAGTGCTGCCTGGCAAGAGCCTGAAGGGATGAGGCCCACCTGGCGTGGGGCTGTGGGCGTCGGGTGGAGGGCACCATCGGTGGCTCTGCTGCCTCGGCCTCTGACCACCTGCATCTGGGTCCAGGGTGTGGCCTGAGAAGACGAGGAATACGGGTTAGAGCCAGGGGTGGCAGGGGCTGGGGGAGCGGGCTCGGGCTGCCAGCTTCTCACACCACACATGCCAGGAACACATGGGAGCACCTGAGCCCCCAGAGCACATATATGCACCCCTGTGTGAACACATACACACAGCTGGGGCACACCTGCACACACCTGTGCCCCTTAGGTCCAATCGTTCTCACACACTCCCTACAAGGTCACACCAGCTCACACGCATGCCCACATGGAAATGGAGGAGGGCAAAAGCAGGCAGGGTGGGGCAGAGCTGAGGAAGGGGCAGCTCTCCCCCAGGCCGTATGGCAGAAGCTGACCCAGGAGTCCAGCCTCCTGATGCTGAGGCCCCCGCCAGGCCCTCTGGCTTGGCTGCAGGGGCACCGTCCACATATGGAGGAAGCGCTCACTGCATGCCAGGCACAGTGCTAAGACCTCTGAGAGCGTTAGCTCACTGCCTCCTCCTCACACCGACCTGTGAGAAAGGCAGCTATTAGCCCCATTTTCAGGAGAGGAAACTGAGGCTCTGAGAGGTGGAAGAAGTCACTCACCCAAGGTCACAGGGCCGGGAAGTGGCAGGGCTGGGGCTCAAGCCCATCCTCCCATCAGAACCCTGGAAGGTAGCTATCAGTGGGGGCAGCACAGGGCCAGGGTGGGCGAGGCTTACCTGGGCGCGGCGGCCGCGGTTTACATAGGTGCACATGGGGTTGTAGGCGCCGGTCCCGCACACATACAGGTGTGTTCGGTTCCAGGGCTGGATGAGCCTGACGAAGTTCCCGCACTCACCCTGGGGCCAGAGGGAAAGCCAAGGAAGTGCCCAGATGCCTGCCTGGCCCCAGTGCCTTCCTGGAGTCCCCTGCCCCCGCCGTCACCTTCCCCCACCCCACCTGTGGCCCCACCGCACTCACGTTGCCATCCTTGCCTGAGAGCACACACTCCTCAATGCGCTGTGGGGAGGCTGCCCAGTGGATCTGCCAGAGATGGAGGTCAGAGGGCCCGCTGGAAGGGCCCCCAGCCCTGGGGCACGCGTCCCTCATCTCCCCACCACATCTGGGCTGGCCCTTACAATGAGGGGCTCGCGGTTGATGTCATGCAGGTCCAGAGACAGCACGTAGTCCTTGCTGCCCACATACATGCGGTCGTGGTCCTCGTCCTTAAGCAGGATTCGGTAATCAGTTGTGTTGAGCAGGAAGTTGAAGAAGTGGGCCGTGCCTGTGGCCTTAAGCTCTGTGGGCAGAGGGCAGAGCAGCAGTGAGGGCTCTTGGAGACCATCCACCCATACCCGCTTTGACAGAGGGGGTAGCCCCACCACACGGTCATCTTAAACCCCCAGCTTCCCCTCCAGGGCCTGCTGGGTTCCCTCTCTAGTCCCTGACATTCTGGGAGGAGAACGTGGGACAGTTGGGCAGGCCAGGGAGGGGGCCACACCCAAAGCCGGGGCCCTGATTCATCGGCAGCCCAGCCAGTCTCTGGGTCCCAATGAAAGGGCAGTGGGCGTGGGCCAGGGTGTGTGATGGCATCAAAGACTCTCTGCTCAGGTGGGGAGTTAATGTTCCCGTGCTCAGGGTGGGGCCAGCTTCCCACAGGGGCCTAAAAGGGTTAATGAACAGGGGGGTGGGGTGCAGGTGCAACCAGGACAGCTCACAAATGCTGGCACAGAGCCAGGGAGCCCTGTCCTCACCCCAGCTGCCAACAAGACAGAGAGCAAAGCTGGCACACAGCAAGGTCCCCACCTTGCCTGAAGCAGGTTAGCCAGGACACCGGAAAGCCCTGCTGGAGCCAAACTGCCCAACAGACCCTTGGGCTTCCCCCAGACCCCACAGGGTTGCTGATGGTGGAATCCTCAGGCCACTCTGAACCATCCAGGAAGTCTTTCCCAGGAAAGAAGCCCTCCCCCTAGTGCTGCAGCATCCCCAGGGCTGGCGACAGGGTCCAGCTGAGTCCTCAGTTTCCCTTCTGTGAGTCTGGCAGCCCTGGCCCTCTCACCCTCAGGTTGCTGAGGGAAAGTCCTCCTTTCTGGGGATGAAAGACAGGAGGAAACTTGGCTAATGATAGGCCAATGACAGAGGACTCCAGGAAACTTGGGAAGCTTCCTCTGGGAGAGGGAGTTCCGAGGGGTCCCCTTGGCAAGTCCCTCCTCCACCCACCCCCAGCTAGTTTTAGCTCCGCAGGAGAGAAGAGATTGCAGTGAGGGTGATGAATGTTCACCAGCACAGGAGGCTTGAGACGGCAGCACACAGAGGAGTATGTGTGCATGCACATGGCCCAGGCATACACACACGCACATATGTGTCCTACATCAGAGGACGCATCCACCACGGGGAACTTACACATCGCATCTCCCTGCCCCACATCTGGTAACCCATTTCACAGGTGGGGCTATCAAGGGGGAGGTCTGGAGAGGGAGAATCTGAGCCCTGGGATCTGAGGTCACTGAGAGCCATAGATGCTGCCTGAAGGTAGAACCAGCAGGTGGCCCCATCCCATTTAGTCAAGGCCGCTGTCTCTGACTGGCCTGGCTGACCTTGACCCCTGCTGTGTGCTGGAGACCCGGGAATGGAGCTGGAGGGGCTGTGCCTGAGAGCAGCTCTGAATGGGAGCTTCAGGATGTGCTGAGATGGGTGTGTGAGGTGGGCTGGGAGCCAGGGGAGTCCCACAGCAGACCCAGAGCCCACATCTGAGGGCTGGGCAGGGCAAAGGCCTTGCCCTGCCCAGCCCTGACTATGGCAGCAGGAGAATACAGGTGATGACCTTGGCCCACCACTGGGACGCAGGGACGCCAAGGGATCAAAGGGCCGATCCCTGCCTGGCTACAGCCTCATCAGCGGTGCCTCTGAAGTCCTAGGCAGGGCAGCCTGAGCACCTGTCCTGCACCTGTTGTTGGGCCACTCGGAGTCCCCCGCCTGGCCACCCGGCCATAGTGACAACAGGAAAGTAAACACTACCCCCCCCGCCCCGTCGCCAACCCAGGGCCAGGAAGTGTCCAGAGAGGAAGTGGGGCTGCCAGCAGAGCCCCCCCAGGCTGGGACAGCCCGCCAGGGGTTATTTATACCCTGGCTGGGGGCATGGCCTTGACTGTGCCCTTACCCGTCCTGCTGGGCTAGGGGGCATTTGGGGGGCAATGGGGGGAAGGGAGGCGAGGCTGAAGTGGGCACCTTCAGACACAGACACCTAAGGTGAGGGGAGCTCCAAATATCTAGCCCTAGGGATGCAACCAGCCATAATGCCTACCTTCCCATCCCCGCCTAGCCTTGGGTCCCTATAATCCAGACCCTCCCCCTCTACAGTGCCACACGACCCCCAAGTCCAAGTCCCCCTCCCAAGTACAGACAGAGGAGACACCATTCAGCAGATGAGGCAACTGAGACCTATGTGAGGAGCAGGAGACCAGCCTTGATCTGACATCCTCCCTCTCAACTCTCCGTGCCTGAGCCCTTTGGTAGAGGTGGGAATGGAGGGAGCCTCTTACTTAGCCATCCAGTACCTATTATGTGCAAAGCCCTGTGCTCATTAACATCCAAATCACAGATGAGAGGCACAGAGCAGGGAAGTGACATGTCAGTGTGCATGGAGCGTGATATTCCCACCCAGGTCCATGGCCTTTTGGGCTAAAGGAGGGTCAGGTGCTGGCAGAGCCAGTCCTGGTGGTGGGGACTGCCTGTTGGAGGGCCGGGGCCGGAAGGTGACTCGTCCTCCATTGACAGGGCACATGACTCAGGACCCTCGGGACCCCTCCCAGTGGCCACGGGATATGGCGTCAATGGCTCTGTTGTCACAGGATGTGATGTTTTGGTCTCTGTGGAAACTAAGGTGGGTGTGGGGAGCCCCCATAAGGCTGTGTGGGGTAGGAAATGGGTGGGAGCAAGGGGGAGGAATCTCTGGCTCTGGCATGGGCTTCATGACCCCAGTTGCGGTCTCGGAGCACTCATTTCCCTCATGCCAGATTGTAGTAAAGAATTCAAATAAGGGTCCCCATGACAGCCCTGCACCCCCAGCTCCAGACACGAAGACTGAGGCCCAGAGAAGAGTGGTGCTCACCTTAGGTCACAGGGTGAGGAGTGAAACTGGTGTGCTGTCCCACCTCCTCACTCTGCCGCAGGGTAGAGGAACAGGGGGCCTTCACTCCTCCAAGAAGCCCGGGTCAGGGCAGATGGTGGTTGAGTAGCCCTGGGCATCCTGCTCTGACACCTGCAGTGTCAGCAGGGCTAGAGCTTACTGGCCCTCAGCCCCACTGAGGAGCAGGGACTTGGGCCAAGGGGACCTGGGGGCCTGAGGGGGCATGGATGTGGGGGAGCTGACACGGACTGAGGTTGCTCCTGTCCTCAGGCCAGTCCCCACCCCTGCTCCACTTGCCCCAGGCCCAGCTCTGATAGCAGGAGTGTCGCCCCTCCCCCACCCCCAGGACAATACAGAAGGAGGGGCTGGGGCACAACCAAAGGCTCTGTGGGTGTCAGGGATTCAAGTTTGTATAAGCTCCGACCTTGGGGAGGGAGGGTGGTGTGCCTGAGTGATGCTCCAGGGAAGAGCTCCCCACCCCCATGCCCTCATCCAGGCTGGGCACAGGTTGGGTGGGGTGACATCCGGGAAGGCTTTTCCCGTCATGGGGAAGGAAGAGCCTTTTCTGGCATCAGACACCTCATTTCCGCAGTCGTTTCCAGCCTCTAGCACTCTCCCATGGCCATTAGACACTAGGGGTCCTGGCCCAGAACGGCCTGGCAAAGGTCCAGAGGCAGGAATTTTCTCAGTGTAAAGGAGGCTTAATCCTGGGGGTCTCTGTTTCCTCCTCTCTGGGAAGCAGCTGATGATGCCTTACTTTAAAGGAGGTGGTGGGCGAGGACAGCACTGAGGAGGCGTGTCTGCAGCCCTCACCCGCAGACCCCGAGTGGGCGGCCCCCGACCCCTGCTGCCTGTCTCTAGGACACCAGGTCTGCTTGCCAGTGAGGCAGGGGCTGCTGCAAAAGGGGGGTCTTGGATCAGAGATGGGTACCCCGCCCCCTTGGTTACAGCCTTACAAAGCAGCAGGCCCTGACGGACAGGGTCACCTCCCTGGGCTGTGCTTGGGTACTGGGAGGTGATAGACAGGTCCCGGCAGCTCAGCCCTGACCTCTGACTTCATGTGGGCTGGTCCAGCCTTAATCCCTAAGATGAAGAGAAGTGAGGTTGGGGGTGAGGGGTGGGGGTGCTGGCCGGGGTCTCTGGTCAGTACTTTATCCCCCTGCCCTTCTGAGGAGGGAAACTGAGGTGGATAAGGAGATGGTAGCAGTGGCAGCAGCAGGAATGGCAGGGTCCCTCCTGGACACTCCCATGGGCTCTAGGGAGGGTTGGCCCCCGGCCCCTTTACCACTCCCTCAAGCTGTGAGGGGCCCCAGAGGGAAGGCCCAGGGGCTGGGCTGACCCACTGGCTCTCGGCCTAATCCTCTTTTAATGAGCGGCCAGCCGGAAGGCCTCAGCCCCTGGCCACAGCCTTGTAACCCTGGAGCCCCAGCCAGGCGAGCTGGGGGCAGGGCCTCCCTAAAGCCTTTGCATGCACCTTTCTCCCTGCTCAGCACGTCCACCTTACTCGTACCTCAATGCCAAGACTCCAACCCTGGCCAGGCCAATCCAGGGCCCCAGCATCTGCCTTGACATACCAGGGTGGCATCTGCCTTGTGCTCCCATGGACCCTCTCCTAGGCATTTACCATTTGTTCAGGTCCAGGTCCCACATGGGGCTGGGCAGAAGAGGCTGTCACCTTTGATTCAGAGGCTGGCTCTCCCAGTCCCACCTCCCACCCCATTCCTAGGGATGTTCTAGATGGGAACCCCTAGAAGCCAGACCCAGGGTTTTGCCTGGGGCTTAAGCTGCCTCTTCGCTGGGGGGTAGGCTCCAGGTTCCTCTGGCCCCAAGCCCCTCAAAATCTGTCCTCTTCAATCCCATCTCTGGATCAAGCTGTCCAGATCAGAGACCCAGAAGCCTCCCTAGGAGGCATCCATACTCGCCCCTCTTCCCCCTAGGCAGGTGAGCCAGGTCAGTGCCAACAAAACCAATTACAGCCGCTCTCACCCAATTAGCAACTAATTATGGCCTCATAGTCCATTCAACATAATTAACATGTAAATGACTCCACGTGTTTATATTCAATAACGGCTCTGATTGAATTTAATTTAAAAGTCTGAACTGGGGACCCGGTTACCGTATTTCATCACTTAAAGCTGCCACTTTCTGGGAATGTCAGCTCCTCCAGGGGA